CTCTCAGAGCGTTCTGGAACGCGCTCGGGTCAAGAAGCCATACGCCGCTTGGCGCGTGGGCAGGAAAAGTGCGCACGCCAATGAAGAAGAAGAAGAAGAAGAAGAAGAAGAAGAAGAGGGGGCGCATCACGACTGTGACGAAGAAAAACAAGGCGCAGCACGTTTGTAAAACAGAAAACTAAGCGCCCCACGACTGTGAAGCAGAAAACGACCTCGGATTTATCCTCGTCCTAGCCCCGTCCGAGAATGACTGCTCCAAATGCCGCGGGCGCAAAAATTACGTCCCCGGGCCGCTCCCCCCTCCCTCAGGGTGACGGCGCCGGGAGGAACAGAACGGGCTGTCCCTGCCGGATCTGTTCAAGGCGAATGCGCGCACCTGCATCCGTGCAACCGCTGGATTTGCTTCAATGGGGGGGGCGCCGCGGCGCCGATGCGAGGGCCTCTTTTCGAAAAAAGGCCCGCCCTCCATGCTCGGGGATCTTCTGACCCGGGTCAATCCAGACCCGGGTCAATCAGGCCTGCAAAATCCTGCAACATCCTGCACCCAAACCCGGGTCAATGCGACGGATCCTGCAGGATCCTGCAGAATCCTGCACCCAAACCCGGGTCAATGCGACCCTGGCGCTGCAGGATCCTGCAAGATCCGGCACTCTGGCTGACCCCCGTCTGCACTGACCCCCTGATGATTCGGGGCCCTGGACGCCCGAAATATCCGGGGTAACTCGGGTCCGGGGTAACTCGGGTTTGGATTCCCGAAAACCGAACCCGAGTTAGCCCTGACCCGAGTTACCCCTGATGATTCGGGGCCCTGGACGCCCGAAATATCCGGGGTAACTCGGGTCCGGGGTAACTCGGGTTTGGATTCCCGAAAACCGAACCCGAGTTAGCCCTGACCCGAGTTACCCCTGATGATTCGGGGCCTGGACGCCCGAAATATCCGGGGTAACTCGGGTCCGGGATAACTCGGGTTCGGAATCCCGAAAAAGGAACCCGAGTTAGCCCTGACCCGAGTTACCCCTGATGATTCGGGGCCCTGGACGCCCGAAATATCCGGGGTAACTCGGGTCCGGGGTAACTCGGGTTCGGATTCCCGAAAAAGGAACCCGAGTTAGCCCTGACCCGAGTTACCCCTGATGATTCGGGGCTCTGGACGCCCGAGTTATATCCGGGGTAACTCGGGTCCGGGGTAACTCGGGTTTGGATTCCCGAAAACCGAACCCGAGTTAGCCCTGACCCGAGTTACCCCTGATGATTCGGGGCCCTGGACGCCCGAAATATCCGGGGTAACTCGGGTCCGGGGTAACTCGGGTTTGGATTCCCGAAAACCGAACCCGAGTTAGCCCTGACCCGAGTTACCCCTGATGATTCGGGGCCCTGGACGCCCGAAATATCCGGGGTAACTCGGGTCGGGATAACTCGGGTTTGGATTCCGAAAACCGAACCCGAGTTAGCCCTGACCCGGAGTTACCCCTGATGATCGGGGCCCTGGACGCCCAAATATCCGGGGTAACTCGGGTCCGGGGTAACTCGGGTTTGGATTCCCGAGAAAGGAACCCGAGTTAGCCCTGACCCGAGTTACCCCTGATGATTCGGGGCTCCTGGACGCCCGAGTTATCCGGGGTAACTCGGGTCCGGGGTAACTCGGGTTTGGATTCCCGAAAAAGAACCCGAGTTATCCCTGACCCGAGTTACCCCTGATGATTCGGGGCTCTGGACGCCCGAAATATCCGGGGTAACTCGGGTCCGGGGTAACTCGGGTTTGGATTTCCCGAAAACCGACCCGAGTTAGCCCTGACCCGAGTTACCCCTGATGATTCGGGGCCCTGGGACGCCCGAAAATCTCCGGGGTAACTCGGGTCCGGGGTAACTCGGGTTTGGATTCCCGAAACCCGAACCGAGTTAGCCCTGACCCGAGGTTTTACCCGGATGATTCGGGGCCCTGGACGCCCGAATATCCGGGGTAATCGGGTCCGGGGTAACTCGGGTTGGATTCCCGAAAAACGAACCCGAGTTAGCCCTGACCCGAGTTACCCCTGATGATTCGGGGCCCTGGACGCCCGAATTATCCGGGGTAACTCGGGTCCGGGGTAACTCGGGTTTGGATTCCCGAAAAACGAACCCGAGTTAGCCCTGACCCGAGTTACCCCTGATGATTCGGGGCTCTGGACGCCCGAAATATCCGGGGTAACTCGGGTCCGGGGTAACTCGGGTTCGGATTCCCGAAAAACGAACCCGAGTTATCCCTGACCCGAGTTACCCCTGATGATTCGGGGCTCTGGACGCCCGAGTTATCCGGGGTAACTCGGGTCCGGGGTAACTCGGGCTTGGATTCCCGAAAAACGAACCCGAGTTAGCCCTGACCCGAGTTACCCCTGATGATTCGGGGCTCTGGACGCCCGAAATATCCGGGGTAACTCGGGTCCGGGGTAACTCGGGTTTGGATTCCCGAAAAAGGAACCCGAGTTACCCTGACCCGAGTTACCCCTGATGATTCGGGGCCCTGGACGCCCGAAATATCCGGGGTAACTCGGGTCCGGGGTAACTCGGGTTTGGATTCCCGAAAACCGAACCCGAGTTATCCCTGACCCGAGTTACCCCGGATGATTCGGGGCCCTGGACGCCCGAAATATCCGGGGTAACTCGGGTCCGGGGTAACTCGGGCTTGGATTCCCGAAAACCGAACCCGAGTTATCCCTGACCCGAGTTACCCCTGATGATTCGGGGCCCGCCCTCCATGCGTGGAGCTGCTTGACCTCTCAAGGCACGTGCACGACGCCTCGGCGAGAGCCCCCTCTTGAAGACTGCCCGGCCTCCACCCGTGGAGCTCTTCCCGCGGGAGCTCCACGGGCAGGAGCTGCCGGCTTCTCCGCGTCGTACACGGCGGGGAAGTCTCGGGCGCAACGCCAGGCCCGCCGTAGCGACGGGTCTGGTGGCGCGACAGGGAAAGGCTGAGAAGGAAAAGGGATGGAGGACGAGGACGGAAGAGGGAGGATGAGGGAGGAGGGAGGAGGGAGGAGGGAGGAGGGAGGAGGGAGGAGGGATCGGGCCGGTGGAGTTCGCGCGTCTGCTCAGCTCGTGGTGGTTTGAAACCTCTGGGCGTTGCTGAGCCTAGGAACTCTCAGTGGCGTTTCCTCGTAAAGCGGCGACGTTGCTGGCGGCCCCTGCACTCGGGCGGGGCCGCCCTGCCCTTCTAGGGGCAACCTCCCGCGAAGGCACGCAGCCGTCGAGAAGAGGAGCAGGACGAGCGAGTGAGCGGGAGGAGGAGCGGCGGGAGCAGGAGGGAGGAGGTGGAGGCGGGGCGGAGAAGGCAGGGAGACGGAGAGAGGAGGGGGGAGGGAGGACGGAAGCGGAAGAGGAGGACGAAGGAGGACGGAGGAGAACGGAGGAGAACGGAGGGTGAGGAAGGAGGAGGAGGAGGAGGAGGAGTGAGAAAGGAGGAGGGAGGAGGGAGGAGGGAGGAGGGAGGGAGGGAGGGAAGGAGGGAGGGAGGGAGGGGGAGGAGGGAGGAGGGGGAGGAGGAGGAGGAGGAGGCTGCATCAAACGACTGTGCAGCCATCAGCTGTCAGGTGTCAGGAGGAGGAGGAGGAGGAGGAGGATAAGGAGGTAGAGGAGGAGGCGGAGTAGGCCGAGGAGAAGAGGAGGAGGAGGAAGCAGGAGGGAGAAGGGAGAAGAGAGGAGGGTTAGCAGGGAGGGGAGGCAAAGGAGGGGGGAGGAGAGAGGCGGAAGGGGAGTACAGGGAGGATGAGCTTAGGAGTGTCGGCCGACGCGACCATGGAAGGAACAGAAGAGGGGAGAGGAGAGCGAGCAGGGTGAGGCGCGGCGACGAGGCGGGAAGGGGCAGCATGGTGGGAGGAAGGGATAGGAGCAGGAGGAGGGAAGGAGGAACAAGGAGGAATTCAGGAGGAGGAGCAGGGAGGAATTCAGGAGACTATGGATGTATGGGCGAGCCGTGCAGGGCTCCTCAAGGCAGCTGTTTCGTGGGGAGCGGAATCGGCAGAAGGCCACCCGGAGCCCGACTTCGGGGAACAGCTTCAGGATCTAAAGAGGCGCAGGGAGACACACCCAAAAATACAAATTTCAGGATTTCCCATAGTTCTACAGACTTCCTGGATGTCCCTCTTCCCCATCCATCTCCCATATTTCCACAGGTCATGAAAAGCAGCGCAGATTTGCGTTTGTATGGGCTCTCCTCTCCTGGAGACTCCTGGCTCGGTGCTGAGGCGCGCACCCGCGATTTGGGGCCGCGCGACGCTGGCGTGCAGCCCGCCGCCGCTGTGCCGCGGAGCCGGGAGGAGCTCGGGAGGAAGACAGCGAAAAACATGAAACCCGTGCTCACATTGTCCGCGACGACGCCCGCGACCGGCCCCGCCCCCTGGCCCTCCATCCCACCTCCCCCCTGCCTGGTCACGGCACGATTCGCGCTGGCGCCGTCTGGGCGCTGGCAATGCTCATGAGTACACGTCGGTCGGAAGAAGTAGGTAAAAACATGAAGTAGGAGGGCGGATAAAGTGGATTGGGTCCAGGCCCTCCCAGAGAACAACAAAACACAGCAAAAGCATGTCGATTCCTGAAGTAGGAAGGCGCATGAAGCAGACTGGGATCTCGGAGTACTTTCAACGACCAGCGAATATTCCCAGGCGGCGCGGGCGCGAAGGCCGGCCCTGGCCCCCTCGCCCCCCCCGGGCCACGCCCGCTACTCGGCGGCGGGCCTGGGGGGCAAGGGCTCCCAAATTCAGGGGGAAGTGGGAAGGAGAATGGCTGCTCGGAAGACTTGGAGTCCCGCGGCCTTCTGAGAAGGGTTCGAAGCCTCTCCCGAAGACGCAGAAGACTTCTCGGGAGGCGCGAGGGCTTCTGAGAAGTCCCGCCGCCTTCTGAGCAGGCCTTCTCTTTCTCGCTTCCCCCCCTCGCTCGCCGCCGAGCCATCGCCAGGGCATAACAAGAACTGCGTCAAGGCCAGAAGCGACATGAGGTCGGTCGGTCGGCCGAAGACCACGAGCCGCTCAGACGGCCGAGCTCTTCCGGGGTGGGGGGGCCGGCCCAGATCACGATGAGGAGTAGCAGCTGCGACAGGAGGGCGACGAGAGCGGACGGCATCGGACGGAGGCAAAACGGTATGAAGCGCCCAGAGGGAGCAGCAGATCTCGAGAACAAGTAGCAGGACCAGAAGGGGAATCCGCCGACCCTATCGGCGTGTGGAAGACGCGTCGTCCTCGGCGCGCCACCCTTAGCGAAAATGACCTACATCGTAAATGAGCTACCGCGCCACCCTCCACGAAAATGAGCTCTATCGTAATTGAATCGAAGGGAAGCCTCTTCCCTTCGATCCCTTCCCCGCCAGGGGGGGGAGGGGGGTCCCGCAGGGGGGTCCCGGTGGGGGGTCCCAGGGGGGGTCCCGGGGGGGGGTCGCCACCCAGATACGCACCCACCCCCCGGCCTACTTTTCTGATTGTTCTGCCCATCCCGAACATGTGGGGGAGTGTCCTCCTCCCCTCTCTTCGCCTCCCCCTCCTCCCTCCTACCTCCCTCCTCCTCGGGAAGGGACGCCGTCAGCCGCCAACGCCGCCGCCGTCCGTCGCCGCCGCCTGCCGCCGCCGCCGCCGTCGTCGTCGTCGTCGTCCTCGTCGTCGTCGAAGCCGCCGCTGCCGCCGCCGCCGCCGCCGCCCTCGTCGTCGTCGTCGTCGTCGTCGTCGTCGTCGTCGTCGTCGTCGTCGTCGTCGTCGTCGTCGTCGTCGTCGTCGTCGTCGTCGTCGTCGTCGTCGTCATCGTCCTCCTCCACCTCCTCCTCCTCGCGTCTTCCTCCTCCTCCTCGCGTATTCCTCCTCCTCCTCCTCCTCCTCCTCCTCCTCCTCCTCCTCCTCGTGCTTGAATACCTCTGGCTGCCACCTTCATCGTGGGTGTCGTCTTTCAGGGTTGGCGGCACCGGTCGTAAGGCCTTCGCAATAGGAAATTCAATAAGTCCACAACCATACACGTTCGGAGGTCCGCGCGGATCTGTTGAGTCTGCCCTGGACACCCGTCCCTAGCGCCGCAGGCGCCGCCAGGAGGGCCCAGCGCAGATCCAAGATATCCGCGGGGAGCTCCGAGGGTTTGTGTTTATGCCGCCTTTCTTCGGCGTTGGACGACGACGACGACGACGACGACGACGACGACGACGACGACGACGACGACGACGAGGTCGACGAAGGGGACGGCAGCGGCGGCGCGCGGCCCGCGCCTGCTCCTCCCCCTCTTCGCCGTCGCCCGGCGCCCTGGCGCGCTCCGACGCCCTCTCCTGCAGCTCCTTCTGCCGCGCCTTCTTCTCCCGCCTGCTGCGCCCGTCGTCCTCCTCCTCCGACCTGTCGTCCTGGGCGTCAGGGGGTGGGCGCGGGCGCCCAGGAGCGCACCCTTCTCGCCCCTCGCCCAGCTCGTACCACCCTCCCCCCTCCCTCCCTCCCTCCCTCCCTCCCTCTTCCCTCCTCCCTCCGTCCTCCTCCCTCCTCCTCCTCCCTCCTCCCTTCTCCCTCCCTCCTCCCTCCCCCTCCTCCCTCCTCCCTCCTCCCTCCTCCCTCCTCCCTCCTCCCTCCTCCCTCTCGAGGACGGCCCGACGGCCGGAGCCCCTCCGCCCCTCCCCGAGGCCCAGGTGGCCCCTGGGTCGGCGCCTTGACCGCAGCGGCCCCATAGGGCGAGGGGCAACGAGGCCCGAAGCAGCACCACTCGGGGGGAGTGGTAAGGGGGGGGACCCCAAAAAGGTCAAACAATACTTTCAAATGAATCCTCCCCAGACTATTTGTTTTACTATTCTTTGACTATGTTTGGGGTATGTTTTATTTTTCGTCGAAAAATCCCCCTGTAGGGGGACAGGCCCGACTCAAGGATAGCGAAGGGCATAGGGTAGAGAATCCGCTCACGTGGCTGATTCTCCTGGCGCCTCCCGGCGCCGGGAGGCGCCCACGTGTCGAGGAGTAGGCCCGGCGGCGGGGCCAGAACTGGCTGCATGCAGCAGATTTCGCACCCCCCCCTTTGCCTATCCCCCCCTTTCGTCTGGCCCGAACCACCCCTTTCGTCCGGGCCCTCGAGGCTGGAAGCCCCCTGCTACCACAGAGGAGCGCAAAAGAAGGAACCAACGCCCCCTTTCAGGCCCCGAAGGTGCCCGGATGCACCAAGAGCGCCAGGGGAGCAACCATGGAAGGGCCCAAGGAACAGCGAGCCCTCTCCGAATCTCAAGTGGATCTCTTTTCAGCGCCTTGCCCCATCTTCGGGCCCCCGACCGCCGTCCTGGATCGACCGGGCGCTCCGACCGCCCATGCCGTCGACGAGGCTCCCCGGCGAACACACGAAGTGTCCGCCCCTGGGCTACAGCCGCCCGTGATGCGGCCGCCGCAGAACGCTGGCCGTCCTGGCTTCCGACTGCCCCAAGGCCCGTGGAGAGTGCATTCGCCCTGGCACCCCAGAGCCCCGACGTCCAACTCCCACCAGCCCTTTGGGCGTGAGTGGTTTAGAGAGCCCGCTCTGTTCTCAACCCCCTTCTTCCCCTTCGGGGAGGGGTTTACCCCTCCCCCTACCCCCTCCCCCTGGGCCTGGAGAGGGCGCCCCGCGGGTGGTTGGAGGGGGTTGGAGAGGGAGCCCCGACGTCCAACTTTTGTCCGCAACTGGACCCCAAGAGGTCTCGACCCTTTCACTGGGACCGGCTTTCCATCCCGACGTCGTACCCTGACGGCCCGGGGCCCCGCGAGGGCCCCCGGGGGCCCCACAGTGGCCCCGAACCGCCCCTCGAGATCGCTTCACGACGAGAGGGGGCCTGGGCTCCCACACCGACCCACGCTCCCACAAAGACAGGACGCCGCGAACACTCACGACTGGGGTCCAGCAGGGACCGACCGTCCCGGCATTCCTATAGGCCTAACACGAAATTGTCTTAGAACCCAAGAATGTTCTAAGAACGCGAACAATGTTCTTAGAACATGAACCCGATGTGTGAAAACAAGACAGCCCCAGCCAGAAATGTTCCAAGAACGTCTCGTGCAAACCACAAAAGGTTCTTAGAGCATTCCCTGGTGGGCCCAGAGGCGAGCCAGTACGCTTCGCCACTGCTTGATGGGGAGCCATCGCCCCGTGCGAGGGAAAACGCCAGGGGGGGCACCGGCTCCGGGGGCGGCGAAGCACCAGCGCGGCATCGGCGATACGTCACCGATACCAATAGTCCGCACGGTCCTGGGCGGCGAGGGCCACCGGGCCCCCCTCGGCGGTGCATGTGTGCCCTCGGGGGGGGTCGAGGCAGCCCCCCGTGAGCCCATCTTGGCGGCGCGCACAAGGGGGGGTACGGCGGGGGGGGGGGGGGGGGCTTTCTCCGAAGGAGGCTGCTTCTTAGCAGGCGCCGGCCTTGCATCTGTAGAAGGCCCGCCCGCGCCTTCTGGGAAGCAGGGGTGCTCCTGAGAAGCCCTCCCCCTCCCCCCGCCCCCCTCTGCGCGTGGCCGACTACCCCCCCCCCCCCGATCACGTTGCCCCTGAGGGCCCTTCCCCACACCGTTCCGCCTCGGAAGCCAGGGCGCCGGCAGACAAAACATACCCACGCCGCTGCTCCCTGGGCCTCTCCCTGAGGGTGCGATGTGGCCAGGATGTACGGCAGGTTCGTGTCGTGCCGACCCCAGCGTTGGTTTTTGACACCGCAGGGATCGTTCAACCTTGAACGATCGGCCGCTGCCGCAACGTCCAATCGTTCAACATCGACCGATTCTGGGTCGCCGCCGGCGTTCAACCTTGAACGCCCGCGCTGGGGTCGCCGCTGGTCGACACGACGCGAACCTACCGTAGGCGAATCCAGCCGTGGCGACGAGGGCCTCTGGGGAGGTCCATACAGGCGAGAACACAAGGAAGGGCACCGGTATCGGTATATGTTGCTTCTCTGACTCCTGCTGGTGCGACCCCTTGACGTCACGGCGAGCCGCCTGCGTCAGTTGGGGGCCCCAAAACGGCGCGGTGACACAGCGTGCGGTGACATCGGAACCCCCAAAGACCTCCCCGCACGGTCCGCCACAGCGCGGTTTTGGAACCCAGGAGGCCCTGGTCGCCCGAGACGTCCTCGGAGAACGACCCTACAATCGACTTCGGTTGAAGAGGACTCGCAAGAAGACACAAGACCCCTCCGATGGCCACATTGCCCAGGAATGCAGAGAACATGGATCGCGGAACACAGCACACGAAGGCACCCTTGATCTGCAAGAGTCGGCCTCCACTCGAACTCAACTCGACAGCCATCCCAAAACCGTGCAGTCATCCCGAATACACCCTGCTCACGGGCCGCGAACATCCCCCTATCCACGCCCCCGCGGTCTGGATTCCGGGGCGTGATGCCGTGGTTACGCGGTCGCATGGATGCGGTCCGCGCGGCACATCCACGAAAAAGCACCCCGTGCCCACGGGGTCGCAGCCCAGGGGGCCCAGCCCGCGAGGCCGTGGATGCGGACAATCGCTCTCCGCCCACGACCTGCCTCTCACCATACGGGCGTATCCACCTCGCGCCGTCTTGTTGGGGGGGGGGGGCCCTGGCAGCAGGCCGTCCTGGATCGTCACACGGAAGGCGGGGCGCCGCACTGCTTCCGCCCCGGCGCCCGCGGCCTCGTCGCCGCCGCCCTCGTCGGGGCACGGCGCCGAGGCCTTCGTGAAGGGCCGCCGCGGCCGTCGGCGGCCCCGGCGTCGTCGTCGGAGGGGACGGGGGGGGGAGGGGGCGGGGGACAGCGGGGGGAGGAGGATGAGGAGGGAGGAGAAAGGAGGGAGGGAGGCAGGCGGGGAGGGAGGGCGGAGAAGGAGGAGGAGGAGGAGGATAATTCCACCAGCCCTTCAGGGCGCGAGTGGTCTGGAGCGTTTCCTCTTCCAACCCCCTTCTTCCCCTTCCCCTGGGTTTGGGGGGCCGATTCGCCAGGGGTTGGAGCGTCCAGGATGGCTCATGCGAGGAAGCCAAAATCACTGGTATCACTAAGGTTTTGGTCACAGTTTGGCCTCCTGGAGGGGTGGGAGTATTTCACTACGGCACCTCCTATGGTCGATCTCCTCCAAGATGGCCTCCGAGGCTTGCAAGGGTGCTCCGAGACAGCCCCAAGAGGTGCCAAGGAGTCTCCAAGACGCCCCCAAGAGGGCCACAGTAGCACCCAAGAGACCCCTGAGAGGCCCCAACAGCCCCCCAGAGACTCCCAAGACGCCCCAAGAGGCCTCGGCGAGAAGGCCAAAATTAGTGATTTTCCTCATGGTTTGGGCACATATTGGCCTCCTGGGGGGGGTCCCAACTAAGGACCCCCCTCTTCTTTAATCGATCCCCTCTCAAATGACCCCAAGATGGCTTCCAAGGCTCCCAAGGATGCTCCAAGAGGGCCCCAACAGGCGCCCAGGAGGCCCCAAGACACCCCCAAGAGGCCCCAGGGCCACGAAAGCTCCCAAAACCCCACTCGGCCCCGGGAGGCCCCCGGGAGGCCCCCAAGACGCTCGAAAAGGCCTCGGGTAGAAGATCCCCCCCCTCCCTCCCCCCCCCGCACGTGGCCACAACCTGGCCACCTGAGGGGAGGAATTGTTACGCGGCCCCTTCTTTGATCGATCTCCTCCAAGATGGCCCAAAGATGGACCCCGAGGCCCCCAAGGGTGCCCCGAGAGGGCCCAAAGAGGCGCCCAAGAGGCCCCAGGAGGCCCCCGAGATGCTGCCAAGAGCCCCCGTGAGAGACCCCCAAGAGACTCCCACGAGGCCGAAAGAGACTCCCCCGAGGCACCCAAGACGCCCCAAAAGGCCCCCGGGACAGCCACGAGACCCCCAAGAGGCCCCAAGAGGCGCACGAAAAGCTCAAGGGACATCCGAAGAAATTCCGACAGGCATCTGAGAAGCCGCTCGTGTTCCTTTTTTCTCCTCCCCATCATCATCATGATCAGCAGCATCGCCATCAGCATCACCATCAGCATCAGCATCCGCATCATCACAATCATCACCATCACCATCGCCATCACCATCCCCATCATCATCGCCATCATCACCACCATCACCACCACCAGCACCGCATCATCACCACCATCACCAATGTCATCAGCATCGTCCTCATCACCACCACCATCGTCATCATCACCTGCACGACCATAATAACAAAACACAATCAGCATCATCAGCCGTATTATCGTCATCATCACCATCACCGTCAACATCATCATCACCATCAACATCCGAATCATCATCATCACCACCATCAGGAGCATCATCTTCGTGATTAGCAGCACCAGCATCATCACCATCATCAGCATCATCAACATCATCATCATCATCATCATCATCATCATTATCATCATCATCATCATCATCATCATCATCATCATCACCACCAACACCAACATCATCATCACCATCATCAGCATAATCATCATCCACCATATCCTCCGCCCCTCCCTCCCCCCTTCCCCCTCTTCCCTCCTCCCTCCCCCCCTCCCCCTCCCCCTCCCCTCTCAGCCTCTGGTCTCTCGTCTCCCCCTCTTGGGGTACGGCGGCTCCCCAGCCTCTTCCACCGCGCGCTCCCCCCCGCCCATGCTTAATCAGGGCAACTCGCCCTGTCTTCGTGTCTGGATGGGTTGGTGGGGTTACTCTTTTTGGTTCGCGAGCGCGCAGGAGTGCCAGGCGCCGTCAAGAAACGCGGCTAACGAGCAGAGGGCTAAAGTCCGCACAAGAGCGCACAGGAGCGAGCTACGCTGCGGCTCAAGCGGTGGACCTAGCGGAGTCAGTGGTCGGGGTGCGGCACCAAAATGGCGAAATTCTTGAAGTCCACGAGGACGACGAACGGGCGTGCAGGCGCTCAACGGAAGAGTCCCGGATCGCCAGGGGGGGAACGTGCCAGCGGCGGAACCGCCACCACGGCGGGGGAGCAGGAGAAGCGACGCCAAGGCACCTGCTCACAGACTGGAAACATAGGCCGGGCGGGTGTCCGAAACAAAGGGCTGGCCGGCCGCCGAAGTGTGAGGCGTCGACGAGAGCCAACGGCTTGAACAAAGGGCTATGGAGGCTGGTGGGGTTACGCGAAGCGTCCAGAATAAGGATGATACGAAGGAGGAAGAGAAGGAGGAGGAGGAGGACAAGGACGAGGAGGAGGAGAACAAGGCGGTGGAGGAAGGGGAGGAGGAGGAGGAGGAGGAGGAGGAGGAGGAGGAGGAGGGGGAGGGGAGCTGAGAAGGGAGAAGGGATGAGGAAGAGGATGAGGAAGGCAGGAGGAAGAAGGCGGGGGGAGGAGAGGAGGGCGAGGGAAGAGCATGAGGAACCTCGGCCGAGAGCGGAGAGTTGCTACCTTGCGTGGAGGTAGTTTGATTCCTCCACATCCTCCTCCTTCTCCTCCTCCTCCTCCACCTCCTCCTCCTCCTCCTCCTCCTCCTCCTCCTCTTTTTTCCTCCCCATCCGTATTCCTCCTCCTCCTCCTCCTCCTCCTCCTCCTCCTCCTCGTCCTTTTCCTCCTCTGCCGCCCCCTTCTATTCCATTCCTTCCCCTTATAGATAACTCCTCCCTGTCGCACCCCGACGCCAGTTTTTAGGGCGGGCTGGGCGTTTCGCCTGAGATTTCCTGACCAACTCTGACCCTGAAGTTTAAAAAATGGCAACAGGTTCACAAATGGAGGGCGGGCGGTTTTCAAAATGTGGCTCTCGCCTCAGCGCCGCACGCATTCGTTTTCATAATTTGCAAGAGCTTCACGGATTGAGGGCGGGTCGCTTTCAAAATGTGATTATCGCTTCAGCGCCGCGCACATTCGTTTTCAAAAAAAAACAAGGATTTCATGGATTGAGGGCGGGTGGTTTTCCAAATTGGGTTCTCGCCTTCGCGCCGCGCACATTCGTTTTCAAATTTGCAAGACTTTCACGGATTGATGGCGGGTCATTTTCAACATGTGGTTCTCGCCTTAGCGCCGCGCGCATTCTTTTTTCCAAAATTTGCAAGAGCTTCACGGATCGAGGGCGGTTCCTTTTCAACATGTGGCTCTCGCCTTAGCGCCGCGCATATTCGCTTGCACATATTGCAAAGCGCCACGGATTCCCATGATCCACGTACCAGAGATTGTGCTCTGGAAGGGTTCAGGGTTATGCGGGTGCAACAAGTTTGATGATTCGCGGCGTTGAGGTCCCAAACATGGCGCCCTGGCGCGATTCCAGATCGTCAAGACGCAGCAGGCAGGTTGATAGGTGGCGTTGAAATCCCGAGAACAATGCGTTGGTATGCTTCAGGATATCCAAACGGTGTCTTCCAACGAGGCAGTCAGTTCCCTCAATGGAAATGACCCGTTGTGGGGGGCCTATGAACAGGGAGTTTGGAGAGAGGGTGGATGGCTTACCCTGGCCCTCCCCCCCCCCGCCTCCTCATCTTCCTCCCCCATCCTCCTCCTGCCCCCCCCCCCCCCGAATTATCGCTCAACTCATTATCTCATCATCTCCTCCTCGCTCCTTCTCCTCCTCCTCCTTCGGCGCCCTTCGGCGTATTATGAAGCATCCCGCACCGACAGCGCAACATGCCACACACAAGGGAGAGGGGGCTGCGGCGCGCCTGCTGGAAAGTCGCTGAAGTTGCTGCCGAGGAAAGCGGCAGCACGACACGACCCGTCCCAACAGGCGGCAGCAGCGAAACTCACAAACCAGAAAGTGAGATACTGCGGCCAAACTCTCGGCCCGTGCTTGGGTCGACACCGCCACGGAGTTTCTTCAAACTCGTGGCAGCGTCACGATTACGTGGCCTCTCGAGACACATCCTCACAAGATACTGGGAACGTGAGGCCCCGAAGGCCCCGCACCGAGCACACCAGACGGTGCCCCCCCCCCAAAAAAAAAACATACGATGGGTCGGGTGGGCCGTCCTCGCGACCCTGGGGATGCCTCGGCACGGATTCTTGCAAATGCCTACCCTACTGCCTGTCTCTCCGCAGAGGGTGCACTGATGCCTACCTTTTTGTCGACGCGGATCAGTTGGTGGCTAAGGGCATCTGGCACCAGCTCGAGGTAGTTCGGCCGACGCTTCAACTTCGCTCGGACCTTCTCAACATCCGGGAGGCCGAGCTTGGATAGATGCCTCATCGTCTCGTGGATGAGGCACACGCCAGCCTGGACCAGGGAAGCCTGCACGGCCATCTGCCGTCGGGTCTCAGGGTTGTGGAGCTGCAGCTCGGCTCCTAGTCTGGCGAGGCGATCCGCCTCTCGATTCCCAACCCAAGCCCAGTACAGAACTCACACGGATGTTGTGCAGCCCCACATCCCTAGCCCTAGCGAAAATGTCACACCAAATCTCGCTGAAGGCCACATTGGTGAGGTCCTGGTCGGGGCCGAGGCCCCAGATGTCGTGGACCATCTGGCAGTCCGTCATAAACTCGGTTTCGCACACTCCCAGCTGCCTAAGCGCCACGAGAAACGAATAAACCTCACCCCCTCCCGCCCATTGGAGCGGGTGGGGGAGATGCCCGTATATGGATCCAACCACGTTCCCCCCGACGTCAACCGCGACCGCAGCCCACCCCGCCCTAGCGAAGAGTTCATGGTCAGGGTCCACCGCAAACCCATCAAGGCACACCATCCCCGTGTCAAAGGTGCCCGAGGGGGGATGGACCATCCAGATGAATCCGCTCCTCCTCCTCCTCCTCCTCCTCCCTCCTCCTCCTCCTCCTCCTCCTCCTCCTCCTCCTCTCCCTCCTCCTCTCTCCTCCTCCTCCTCCTCCTCCTCCTCCTCCTCCTCCTCCTCCTCCTTCCTCCTCCTCCTCCTCCTCCTCCTCCTCCTCCTCCTCCCCTCCTCCCTCCTCCTCCTCCTCCTCCTCCTCCTCCTCCTCCTCCTCCTCCTCCTCCTCCTCCCTCCCCATCCTCCTATTTCCTCCTCCTCCTTCTCCTCCTCCTCCTTCCCCTCCTCCCAATTCTGGCGTCGGGCTGCTCCTCCCTCCTCCTTCCCCTCCTCCGTCTTCCCACCTCCCTCCTCCCTCCGCCCTCCCTCCTCCCTCTTCCCTTCTACTCATCCCTCCTCCTCCTCCTCGTCTTATAAGTAGTAATCGTAGCGTGCTTGTAATATTCTCACCTGCACGGCCAACGGCCAGGGCCCGAGAACCACCGTGATGGAGATGACGATGATGATTGGCGGCGGCGAGAACCCATTTTGCCGTGCGGACTTTTCTCGCCTGCACGGCCAACGGCCAGGGCCCGAGAACCACCGCGATGGAGATGACGATGATGATTGGCGGCGGCGAGAACCCATTGTGCCCTCGGACTTTTCTCACCTGCACGGCCAACGGCCAGGGCCCGAGAACCACCGTGATGGAGATGACGATGATGATTGGCGGCGGCGAGAACCCATTTTGCCGCGCGGACTTTTCTCGCCTGCACGGCCAACGGCCAGGGCCCGAGAACCACCGCGATGGAGATGACGATGATGATTGGCGGCGGCGAGAACCCATTTTGCCCTTCGGGGGTACTAAAGTTTTTGACCATAAGATGAGAATTGCCTCGCTGGTCACGCGTGCCGCGGAGGATCGATCAGGATGCAAAGGTGCCTTGATGCGGATTCGCGAGCCTTTGTGGGCCCTGTGGGACGGCCAACCAGTGAATCGAGAGCGACCGCATTGGAGAAGGATGCCCAGGGTCTCACAGCATCAATGCAACAAGGAATGCAATGAAACATCGCGTTGGCATGATAAGGACAGGGCCGATGGGGATGATGACACGGACGATCAAACGTGACCCAAGCGGAGTGGTTTACTGTGAATGGGTTCAAGTCGGAGCGTTTCCCGGCCCTATTGTACATGGGACGGAGTAATTATCACCCTGTTGTAAATATATATTATTATATTCTTACAGGGTGAGAGCCCATCGGAGTCGAACCGCCGCCCGACCCAAAACATGTCGCTAAGATTCTACGGGGGGGCAGGGGGCGTCGACAGCATGACGTCTTATGGTCAAAACTATAGTACCCCCCGTGTAGTCCTCCTCTCCTTAGTACTAGTATTAGTACGATCCGTCGTAGTAGTCGTCTCGATAGCATTATAGTGTGATGATGCGTAATATGACTCGTAGCATTCGCAAGTATGATAATTACGACTACATACCCAGGACCAAAGTTGTTTCCTCTTGGGCACGGAACGACGGCTCAAAGTCTGGAGCAGACGCGTATGAGATAACCGCAGTCACTCGGATCCCATGAAAATCGCGCGGGTCAAAGGGTGGTTTTGGTTTGGTGTTTGTTTCGGCGGATCCGATTTCCGTCCGCGCGGATCAAATTTCGGATTTGCTGGATCCGTGTCCGGTCTTATTTTTTTCACGGCGGATCCGGTTTTTACCCCGCTTTAAACGTGCACTATTAAATCTTAACGGGAAACCAAAGGAAATCGGATCCGCAGAGCCCAGAGCACACCTGTGTTAAGATTATACGGGGGAAGGGGTTTCGGCAATTAACTTCCAACTCAGCATCGCCAATTGCACCACAAGAGGAAAATCATTCGTCCTGCGTAAGTATTATTGGTAGTAACAGCAGTATTAATACTCACACCAGTGCTGTAACCAGTTATGCTATTGTTAATGAGTGTTAGTAGTAGAAGAAGAAGTAGTAGTAGAAGTAGTAGTAGTAGTCGTAGTAGTAGTGGTAATAGCACTAGCGCTAGCATTGGTGATAGTAGCAATACCAATATCATTATGAACAGTCTTAGGCCATTAGTACGATTCGTAGTAGTAGTACTACTAGTGTTCGCACTATTAGTATTATGAGTATCAATTGCATTGTGAAAAAACAGTATTAATGACAATAGTAATATGAACATTCATCGTCCTCCTCCTCCTCATCCTTGTCCTCATCCTCCTCATCATCCTCCCGCCTCCTCCGCCTCCTTTTCCTCCTCCTCTTCCTCCTCCCACGACTTGTCATACTCCTCATCCTCTCATCATCTCCTCCTCGCTACTCCTCCTCCGTCTCCTCCTTCTGCTCCTCCACCTCCTCCTTCTCTTCCTCCTCCTCCTCCTACTACTTCTCTTCCTTCTCCGCCTCCTTCTCCACCACCTATCACGCTGGCGGCCAAGGGAGGGGGTAACGAGGGGCATGGAGGAGGGATTCATGAGGGTACAGTAGAGGAAGGAGGGAGGAATGAAGAAGGCAGGATGCGCGAGAGAGGAGGAAGCAGGTGAAGCGAGGAGAAATGAGGGAAAAAGGAGGGAGGAGCGATACAAGGGGATAGAAAAGGGAGGGAGGGAGGGAGGAAAGGACGCAGAGAGCAGAGGAAGAGCAGGAGGAAAAAGGATGTGCTGCTCCTACTCGTCCTCCTTCTGAGGACAGGAGACGAGCAATGAGTAGGGGCAATAGGAGGAGGAGCAGGAAGAGGAGGGCAAGTGGGTAAAAATTGGAAGGAGGAGAACGACAGCGATGACGACTAGCACCACTGCGACGGCGAAGACGCCGAAGACGGCGACGGCGACGACCGCGCTGATCACGACCCCGACGACGACCACTGCAACGACCACGACTACGCAGAAGACGCCGACGGCGACAACTGCGGCGGCGGCGCCCACGACGACGAACCCCACCACGACAGCGGCAACGCCGACGCCGGCGGCCGCGGCGACGACGACGACGACGACGACGACGACGACGACGACGGCGGCGACCACGACAACGACCCCTACCACGACGGCGCTGGCGCAGGCGACGGTGGCAAAGACGGTGACGACGGCGGCGGCGCGTCGGCCGCAGCCTCGCCGCCGGAGGCGGCGTCGGCGCCGGCCGCATCGACACAGGCCGCCGCGCCCTCGCTGGCGCCGGCGCCGGCGGAAGAGGCGCCGCCCGCCTGGACGTCGGCGCCCTCCTCGGCGAGCAGCTCTTCCATCTGCCTCTTGAACGCCACCTCTTTGATTTAAGCGCTGCTTGATGCTGGGACGATGATTTAAGCATCATCATCATCATCACCACCACCATCATCATCATCATCACCATCATCATCATCATCATCACCACCATCATCATCATCGTCATCATCATCATCATCACCACCACCATCATCATCATCATCATCATCATCATCATCATCATCATCATCATCATCATCATCATCATCATCAATTGACTATCCACGTCATCGTCAGCATCGTCGTCGTCACCGTCGCCATCATCGTCACCATAATCAGCATCATCCTCAGCAGCATCATCAGCAGCAGCATCATCATCACCATCAGCTTCATCAGCATCACCATCATCAGCATCAGCATCAGCATCAGCATCAGCATCAGCATCAGCATCAGCATCAGCGTCATCATCACCAGCATCAGCATCAGCGTCATCATCATCATCGCCACAAGCAACACTATTACAATCGCCACCGTTTTGACAACAACCACCATCATTATCTTATCATTACCGTCGCAAGCCTCATCATCCTCATCACCATCATCACCACCGTCATCATTATCATCGCCAGGTGTAGCTACCGACGCGCCCAAACGTCATGAGTTGTCCCGGACACGATGTGGCCACCAACACGCCTGGACGCCCGGATATGGCTACTGACGCGCCTAAACGTGCTGAGACGTAGTGCTTCTTCCCTGAAGCAATGCGGCCTCCAGCATGCGGGGTCGTCCAAATATTGGTTTTGCCCCGGAAACAATGTGGCATCCAGAATGGCCCGACGTTCAGATGTGGCAGCCGACGCACCCGAACGTCCTCAAACGCAGCATTTCTCCCAGGAAGCAATGTGGCATCCAATATGGCCCAGTCGTCCAGATATGGGTTTGTCCCGCCTGGGGTCCTCGCTTGAGCTCTGACACATGGGCTCAAGGGGACGGAGTTCGGATCACGGAAGCGGGATATCCCAATCTGGATCCGTATCCAGAGTCGGAGCAGGATCCGTGCGCTGATCATAGGCAAGAGCTAATGACTTCTGCACTCACGGCGGAAATTGCAGTCACGGATTCGTATTATCCCAATCTGGATCCGGATCTGGATCTTGATCCGGGAACGGACCCCTGCGCATTGCGATCACGGATTTGGATTTCCCCATCCGGATCCAGATCCAAACGCAGATCCGGATCTTAGGATCCGTCCGCTAATCATGAGCTCGTGACGTCTGCATTCACGGTAAAGATTGGGATCACGAATTCGGATCATCCCACTCCAATTACAAGTCCAAATCTGGATCTGGAACCAAGTCCCTGCGGATTGGGATCACGGATTCGGACGATCCCCATCCGGATAACTATCCCGATCCGGATCCAGATCCGGATCACGGCCCGCTGCTCAGAAGAATGAGCTCCGACCTACGGTCTTAGATCTCAGGGGCGCCAGGGCGGGATGCCGGATCAGAGATTGGGATTATCCCAATTGAAGAGGCTACACACAATCCCAGGATTCACTACATTTTCACATATTTTCTGGGTTGTCGTCTTCCCCCCCCCCCTTCCAATTTTTTCCAATATTTGTTTGATGGGTCGACGATTAATTGTGTCCGTGTGTTTTTTCTACTCATGACCAGTCCAAATCCGAATCCAAATTTGGATCCAGAACTGCGCCCTGATCAAAGGGTTAAACTCAGACCTGGGGCCTCGGCTAGTCTGAGGCGGGGATCGGGATCACGGATTCGGATCATCCGGATCTCGAACCCGATCCGGAACAGGATCCGAGCGCTGATCAGAGAAATCATCTCAAAATGATTATTGGGATCAAAACTTCGGAATATCCCCTTCCGGATCCAGATCCGGGGCGCCATGACCTCTGCACTCAGGGCGTGGATTCGGATGACGGGCTCGGATGGTCCCAATCCAAATCAGGATCCGGACCCGGATCCCGAACTGGTCACCTGCGCTGATCAGAGACATGAACTCAAACCAATGCACTGAGGGCAGAGTATTGGAATCACCAATTTGGATGATCCCCATATGTATCAGTAGGCTCATCAGAAGAACGAGCTTAGACCTATGGTGTCAAAGGCGGGGAGTCGAATCACGGACTCGGACCATCAAATCCGGATCCGGATCTGGATCTGGAACCGCGCGCTGATCAAAGGGATGAAACCATTTCTATGGTCTCAGGAGCGGGGATTGGGAGCACGGACTCGTGTCATCCCAATCTGGATCTGAATCCGGATCCAGACCCGGATGCAGATCCGCGCATTGACCAGAGAAACTCCAAATTATGCGGGGATTCAAAAATGGATGCGGAGTATCCCAATCCAGATCCAAATCTGGAACTGGAGCCAGATCCAGGAGCTGAGAGGAGCTGCACTCAAGGCGGGTATTCGGATCACGAATTCGGATTGTCCCCATCAGGATCCGAATCCCGATCTGGAGCCAGATCTTGGCGCTCAGCAGAGGAATGAGCTCAGGACCTCTGCACTCAGGGCGGGGATTGTGATTACGAGTTCGGATTATCCCCATCCAGATCCGGATCCGGAGCCAGATCTGGGCGCTCAGATCATGACCTCTGCGCTCAGGGCGGGGATGCGGATCACGGATCGGATTATCCCAATCCGGAAAAGGATCCAGATCCTGAACCGAATCTGGGCGCTGCTCAAAAGGATGAACTCATGACCTTTTGCATTCAAGGCGTGGATTCGGATCACGGAGTCGGACTATCCCAATACAGATCCGGATCCGGAGCTGAAACCATGGTCAGATACGGGCCCTGAGCAGAGGAATGTCTGCACTCAAGGCGGAGATTCGGATACAACGGATTCAAATGTTCTGGATCCGGATCTGGATCCAGAGACAGATCCGGGCGCTGAGCAGAGGAATGAGCTCATGATTCATGACCTCTGCACTCAGAACGGCGTTTCGGGTCACGGATTCTGATTTTCCCAATCCTGGTCTGGATCCAAATCTGGGTCCGGAGCCGGATCCAGGCGCTGAGCAGAGGATTGAGCTCAGGACCTCTGCACTCGGGAGGGGAATGCGGATCACGGATTCGGAGGATCCCCATCTTGATGCGGATCCGGAGCCGGAACGTCTGGGGGTCGGGGCTGGGGCTGGGACCAGGGCCAGGGCTGGGACGGGGGCCGGGGCCGGTGCTGGGGCCGATATCTGGGGTCGGGGCTGCGGCGGGAACCAGAGCTGGGGCAGAGGCGGGGGCCGGAGCCAGGGATGGGCGCCGGGGGCCGAGGCCAGGGCCGGGGCCGAACGCCAACGAGAACCTCCCAGGACCTCCCCCGTAAGAGCATGCCCTCTCCAGCTCTGATCCCCAATCCCACTGGGCGCGCTGGACGCTCGTGGCATCGATGTCGTAAGTGACGTTGCCATCCCTCCCAGTTTCCCTCCTTCCCCGCCTGATCCCCCTCCTCGTCCTATCATGCCGCTGAAGACCATGACATGGCTCCCCTTGATCGGCATCACCAGCATCCTCCCGCTTTCCTCCTCCCTGATGGCTTCTCTCTCCATCGCTCTCCCGTGGCAGCCAATGTATGATGCCACGTCTCTTGAAAGAACACATGGGGCGTGGCACTGATCGATTCACGCTTTTCTCATACAAAAATTGCAAAAAGCAACACGGTGAATGGTACCGCTACCACGCTGCCCAACAAAATGGGCGCGTTGCTCAACCGGTCTAACGGGAAGTCGCCGTGCACTCCCCTGCGGGAGGAGGAGCAGACGCAATTTCTTCCCACACACACCCTGGCGTTGCCTCGCACTCACTCTTGCCGTACGTGGAGCACTCGATGGCGACGTTGTTCTGGTACCTCGTCTCCAGAGCGCGGCAACCGAAGGCCAACAGCGCGAAGAGGGCACCGCGGAGAAACGGCATCGGGAATGGTAAGATGTACGGGGTCAAGATGTACAAGCGTCTGGCGCGGAAGCGTTGGATCAGCCTAAACTTGCTCTTGAGCCAAAGCTGCTACGGATCTGACTCATGCCCTTTTGACTGCGGGTGGGCTTTCGAGCCAGTGAAGACACAATACACCTTGCTGCGCCTCATCCTCACCCCTGCACCCACCCGAGCCTTCCCAGTGACAGCGTCGGAGCGGCTGCGGCGACATCGACCTAGCGGGTGGTGGGGAAGGACTGATGCGCCGATGCCTCTTCTCCTTCAATACGGCGAACGTCGGCTTCACACACTCATGCGCCGCCGTGACTGATCCTCACCACGCCGCCCCTACACAGTGCCCTGTCAGAGTCCTGACGCGGGGGAGGCAAGAAAAGACGACCTCCCCGCACCAATGCTTCTCTGGTAGGGTGGTGCTCGGCGGCGCAGAGCAGCGCGCCAATACGATGTATGCCACTGCGAATCATGACAGAACTCATGGATCGGCGGCACAGGCCAGAGGCCCGCGATCACTTTGCATTGATTTTTGGGCCGCGATGGGGGCGGATATTGCCTGCTGTGTACAAAGCCAAGAACCCCAAACCACCCCTTGCACAAAACAGTAAACAAAGTACGCTATGCACCTAACATCTAGGTCATGCCCGGACGCCCCGCGATCACTTCGCACAGGTTTTTGGGCAGGTGCTGCGGGAAGGCACATAACTATTGCCTGCTGCATGCAGGCCCGCCATCCCTCCTGACAGAGAAAAGTTTGGTTTGCAAATGCCCGCGGGGTGGGGCGGCATACTGCCTGCTGTGCACAGGCCCCTCCCATCCCTGTGAACAGCACACTCAAAGAGATTATGGGCGCGCACCCGCACACGATACACGATGCCCGCAAACCCGCCGTCACGTTGCATTGGCTTGTCCACACATCCTGAGTGGGGCTCTTGCTTTCTTAGCGAGACCTTCCTCCTCCTCCTCCTCCTCCTCCTCCTCCTCCTCCTCCTCCTCCTCCTCCTCCTCTCAATCTAACCTCCTCCTCCTCATCCTCTTCATCATCACCATCACCACCACCGCCAGCAACATCATCACCACCACCACAATCATCATCATCATCATCATCATCATCATCACCACCACCACCACCACCATCATCATCATCATCATCATCAGCAGCAGCAGCAGCATAAGCATCATCATCATCATCATCATCATCATCATCATCATCATCATCATCCTCAGCAGCATCATCATCATCAGCAGCATCACCATCAGCAACACCACCACCATCATCAACATCATCATCATCAGCATCAGCATCAGCATCATCTTCATCATCATCATCATCATCATCATCATCATCATCATCATCATCATCGTCCTCGTCGTCGTCGTGATCGTCGTCGTCATTATCATCAGCAGCATCAGCAGCAGCAGCAGCATCGGCATGATCATCATCACCATCATCCGCATCAGCATCAGCAGCATCAGCATCAGCATCAGCATCAGCATCATCAGCGTCAGCATCAGCATCATAATAACCAATCATCATCATCATCATCATCATCATCATCATCATCATCAGCATCATCATCATCATCATCATCATCAGCATCGTCATCATTAGTATCATCATAATCACCATCAGTTCCGTTTCCTTGTAAAGCACTTCTCCCTGTCGCACCCAGAGGCCAGTTTTTAGGGCGTGTCGGGCGTTTCGCCTGAGACTTCCTCACCATTCGTGATCCTGAAGCTTAGAAAATAACACCAGTTTCACACATGTAGGGCGGGTCGTTTTCAAAAGGTGGCTCTCGCCTTGGCTCCGCGCAGATTTGTTTTTCTGTGCATGAGCTTCAAAGATGGAGGGCGGGTGGTTTTCAAAATGTGGCTCTCGCTTTCGCGCCGCGCACATTCGTTTGAAACATGTGCAAGAGCTGCACGGATTGAGGGCGGCTCCCTTCCAAAATGTGGCTCTCGCCTTAGCGCCGCGCACATTCGGTTGCACAAATTGCAAGAGTTTCACTGATTCCCACGATCAGCATACCAGAAAGGGCGTTCTGGAAGGAGTCCGGACTCTGAAGGTACAACAGTTATATTGATTCGCGGTGCTGAAGTCCCAAGAACGGCGTTCTGGCAGCAGGATTCAGGATCGTCAAGACGCAACAGTCAAGTTGATCCGTGGCGCTGAAATCCCGAGAACATTATTTTGGCATGCTTCAGGGTCTTCAAACGGTTGTCTTCCAACGAGGCAGTTCCCTCAGTAGAAACGGTTGTGGGGCCTATGAACAGGGAGCTTGGAGGGATGCTTTATTCCTACATCGTTGATGACTCTTTGGTTCACACTGGTCCTCCTCCTCATCCTCGTCCTCATCCTCCTCCTCCTCCCCCTCATCCTCATTCTCATCCTCCCCGTCCGGAGGCCTCGGCCCTGTGTTTTTTGCTCTTCATGTGCCCGTCGTAAAGCTTGTCGGTCGCGAACGTCATCATGCAAACCTCGCACCTTGAGGAGGAACTATCGGGGGGAACTCGGGAGCGGCCAAGAGGGGGGTGTCCAAGACGGGGGGCTGCTAATCATGACCGGCGGCACGTGCGCGGCCCAGCGGGGGGGCCGGGGACGTAATGAAACAAGAAGAGGCGCCATGGAATATGTGGAAACATCATGGCCCCCGCCCTGACATCCCACCCCCCCCTGGCCATCACCCCCCTCTTTGCCGCCCCCGACCGGCCGAGGGAGGGCAACGTCGACCCGGGATCGGCGATACCTCGCCGATACATCGGCGGTGAGCCCTCGCTCCCGGGGAGGCGGAGGCGGAGGCGGAGGCGGAGGCGGAGGCGGAAGCGGAGGCGGAGGAGGCGGAGGAGGAGGAGGAGGAGACGGGGTGGGCCGGGCCGCCGGGCCCCGACAGTCCAAGCACGACGCAAATCTGGGCGACTGTCGGCGGCGAGCCCGGGAGGGCAGCGAGGAGGAGCGGGCCCTCTCGGAGGGCTCGGACGTCCCCCCGGGCCTTCTGAGAAGTTTTCCAAGCCTTCCCTCAAGTCGGGCGTGTCCCCCTACAGAGGGATTTTCAACGGAAAATGAAAAATACCCAAAGAAAAAATACTCCCAAATGGTCCAGAAAAGAAAACGCAGAAAATAGTCCCCGGACTATTTTTGTTACTACTTTTGAATATTCCCCCTGTAGAGGGACAGGCCCGACTTAAGCCTTCCCCGGAGGCACAGGAAGGCTCTCAGAAGGCGCGAAGGCTTCTGAGAAGCCCCGCTTCCTGCTGAGAAGGCCTTCTCCTCTTTTCACTTCCCCCCTCTCGGGGAGACGTGAGACTCGGGTTACGGGGGACCCGGGTTGGCCAGGGCCATCATGAAAATGACGATGGCCCAGTCTGAAATTTGATGCGACCTCCCGCTGCAAACATCCCACGAAAAATGGACCGTCAAATGCAGGGCGCGCTCGTCAGAAAGCGTCGGCAGGTCCGAGTTCCGGCGATTTCGAGTCTTACGTTTCCCCCGACCCTGGCTCGCCGCCGAGAGTAAGGGTCGTGGCATCCCCCCCTCCTCAAGGCTTCCTCATCCGCAGATGTATCATCCTTCTCCCTCCTCAATCCTCCTCCTCAATCCTCAATCCTCCTCCTCCTCCTCCTCGTCCTCCTCCTCTCAATCCTCAATCCTCAATCCTCCTCCTCCTCCTCCTCCTCCTCTTCCTCCTCCTCCTCCTCCTCCTCCTCCTCCTCCTCCTCCTCCTCCTCCTCCCAGGAGCGTCCGAGCGATGGCGAGGCGACGACGACGCCCGCCGCTGACCGCACGCCCCCGCGCCTGGCCTTCGGGCCGTGGGGCCTCTGGTGGCCCTCCGGGGTGAGGCCGGGCACCCGCGGCACGCCCCTCTCGGGGAGGCGCAGCCGCGGCCGGCACGCCGCCGGGGGCAGGACGCCCCGAAGCGCCAGACAGCCTCGAGCCTCGAGGGCACCGCTGCCTTTTCGCGGCGATCACGGGCGCCATGGGGGGGAGGGAAGGGGGGAGCGGCGACAGGGGGGGGGGCATAACGTAACGACGCCCCCCCCCCCCCCCAAGGCTATGGTGCCGGACGCACTGCGGCAGTGCCGGGGACGCACTGCGGGGGAGAGGGGTACGTGATGGGGAGAGGGGCGGAGGGTAGGGGGGCACAACGCGCGTTATGGCCGAGAGGGTGACAAAATGCTCTCCTATTGAAATCCAAAGAGCTCCCAATAAATAGGGAAACGAAGAATGACATAATCGGCGCTGGACTGCCCTGGCGGCGCCTCCGGCGCCGCCGCTGGCGCGCTCCGCGCGCCAGGGAGAGGGGTCCAGCGCCGATCCGAGAAATCCGCGCGGACCTCCGAGGTTTTTTATGCTTGTGTTCTTCTTCGCTCCCCTAACAGAACCTCCAAGGATCTCAAGTCCTTCCCTCATGCCATTCCTCTGACTTTTGCCTGTGCCGCTGCCCCCGCGCACCTGTACTCGACGGCTTGCGCCCTCGCCCTCGCCCGCCCCCTGCGGGCGAGCCCGCGCTCCTCGGCCCCCTCGCCCTCCGAGCCATGCTCGGCGGCATCTCGCCCAACCCGCGGCGGGGGCGAGAAGCGCCTCGCGGCGCTCGCCACCGCCGCCGCCGCCGACGACGACGACAACGACGAAGACGGCGACTGCAATAGCGACGGCGACGACGACGACGAGGCGGCGGCGAGGACGACGGGGACGACGCCGGAGGAGAACGGGGACGAGCAGGAAAACAAGGACGCAGACGAGGTCGAGAACGACGACGCCGACAGCGGCGACTGCGGCGGCGATGGCGGCTGCAGTCGGCGACGGCGACGACGGCGACGACGACGCCGTTCACACCGACGACGTCTACGCCGACGAAGCCGCCGCCGATGACGACGACGCCGACGGCGGTGGGCGGCGCCGCCTGGCACACGGCGCCGGCGGAGCGGCGCCTTCCGCCGGCAGAGCGGCTCCCTCCTCGCCGCCGTCGGAGTCGGACGAGGACTCCCGGGCGTCGCCTGCCGCATCAGCCTCCCGGTCCTGCCCGCGGCGGCGACGGCGGCGGCGGCGGTCGCCCTCGGAGGACTCGTCGCTGACCGCCTCGCCCTCCTCCCGGCGCGCCTGCCTCACGGCGCTGACCTCCTTCCACCGCTCCTCCTCGGCCCGCCTTGCGGGAGGAGGGGTAGGAGGAGGAGGAGACAGAGGAGGGGGGCGGGGAGGGGGAGAGGAGGGTTCGAGGATCGAGGTTCCAGGTTCGAGGGCCTCGGGGATCCAGGATCGAGGGCCTCGGGGATCGAGGATCGAGGATCGAGGTTCGCGGATCGAGGCTCGAGGATCGGGGGGGAGGGCGAGGGGCGGGAGGAGAGGAAAGGAGGAGAGGAGGACGACGTAGCTGGAAGCTCTCACGCCATACCTGGCATCATACCGTGGTTACCCCTCTCACAGAAAAGGAGGAGGAGGAGGAGGGGGAGGAGGAGGGCAAATGAGGAGGCGGCCAGGAGCATGAAGAGAGGAACGGGGCCCGGCCGAGAATCGGAGAGCCTTTCTGTGGCCATCGGTGAGACGGAAACGCCGCCTGGTCGGCCCAGGCTCGGCTAATTACGCGCACGGTGGCCCAGGGGAAGAGAAACTCTTGATCCGCGGCTGCAGGTGACCTCGAAGGGGCCAACGCCAGGGGGGAACCCCTGCAGGCCCACGCCGAAGCACACTCTGGCCAACGATCAATCTCACGCGCACGTCTGGTTCGTGTCGTGACGACTGGCGCGTCGATGCCTGACACCGTGGGAATCGCTCCACCTTGAACGATCGCGGCTTTCCGACCGCGCAGATCAACCGTGAACGCCCGCATTGGGTCGCCGCCGCGTCGGCACGACACGAACCTTCCATAGGTCCGCTCGGGGTGTGAGGGAGGGAATTGGTCAGAGAGCCAAGCCTGCTGGAGATCCGTGGGATATGGACGATAAATGGTTTCTCTCCTCTCAGTGAGAGCCAAACGTGTCTCAACACCTTGGCCGAAAGGGCAGCGGATGAGGAGAGGCGACAGGCAAGAGAGGGTGCACACACACGGTAAGGCTTCGGGTTGCGCACGCACAGCCCCCCCCAGGTAGTCCCAGCTGGCCTCAACAGAACCCCCGAATAGTCCCAGCTGGCCTCAACAGGCCCCCCGAGCAGTCAGGGGCGGTCTCAACACCCCGGCGCCGCCTCTGGCGGCACCCCTGAGGGGGGCTCCGCGCACCAGGGTTGAGGTGTCGAGACCGCCCTGCACCCCTTGCTCAGGGGGGCCTGTCGAGGACAGCTGAGGACAGCTGGGGCTACTCGGGGGGCCGGTTGAGGCCAGCCAGGACCACCTAGGGGGGGCTGTCTGCGCGCAACCCAAAGCCTTACAACACGCGCACCCACACACACACACACACACACACACACACACACACGCACCTATACACACACACACACACACACACGAGAGAGAGAGAGCGTGATCCACCGCCGCTTTACTGTGGAAAATTGCCGCCCTTTTCCTCCGGAACCCGGGGGTCCACCGCCCCCCCCCCCCGAAAATCCCCCCCCCCCTGGAACCCCCCCCCCCTCCCCTCCCCCGGCAAAACCCCCCCCCTCCCCTAACCCCCCCCCCCCTCGAAAACCGGGGGGGTCACTACCGGTTCGAACCCCCCCCCTCGAAAACCGGAGGGGGGGTCACTACCGGTTCGAACCCCCACCCCCCCACCACCGCCAGCAAACCACTCCCGGTCAGTGCCCCCACCACTGTCGCACTGTCCGACTATCCCCACTGTCCCCACTGTCCCACTGACTCCTCCGCTGTCCCACTGAACTGTTCCACTGTTCCCACCACTGTCCCCACTGTCCCCACCACTGTCCCCACTGCCCCACTGTACCTCTGTCCCATTGTCCCACCGCCGTCCTCGCCACCGCCTTCACCACTGTCGCCACCACCACTGTACCCTCCACTGCCCCACTGTTTCCACCTCATTCCCACTGTCCCCACACCACTATCCCCACCACCACCGTCCCCGCCACTGTCCACTGTCCCCACTGTTCCCACCATTGTCCTCACCACTGTCCCCACCACTACCGTCCCCACCACTGTCCCACTGTCCCCACCACTGTCCCGCTGTCCCCTCAACACTGTCCCCACCACCACCGTCCCCACCACTGTCCGCACCCCCCCTCGGTTTTCGGTAGTGACCCCCGCCGGTTTTCGAGGGGGGGGGGGTTCGAACCGGTAGTGACCCCCCCCCCCCTTTCATGATGAACTGGGGGCGGAGGGGGGGAGGGGTTCGAACAGGTAGTGACCCCCCCCGGTTTTCCGGAGGGGGGGGGGAGGGGTTCGAACTGGTAGTGACCCCCCCCGGTTTTCCGCCAGCAATGGTAGAACACGCTCTTTCACACACACACACACACACACACACACACGCACACACACACACACACACACTCACGTACCTATATACACACACACACACACACGGAGGGGGGACGAAGGCGGGCGGGCCCTACAGGCAGGCGGTGGTCGTATGCTGCCGTCGTCGCCGCCGCCGCCAGCCCACGGGACGGGGGCACGGCCGCGAGCGCGCGCGCGCGCGTCGAGTGGCCTCGTCGCGTCCTTCCTCTCCAGCCGCCGCTGCGCCTCCTCGGCCCTCTGGCTCTCCCTCTCGGCACGCCTGCTTTGAGGGGGAGACGGCGACGAATGATGACGACGACGACGACGACGACGACGACGACGACGACGACGACGACGACAACGGCGACGGCGACGGCGACGACCACGGCGACAACAACTGCGGTGGCGACGGCGACGGCGACGGCGACGACGACGGCGACGACGACGACCACGGCGACCAAAACGACCAGGATGACGGCGGCGGCGGCGGGCGACGGCGGCGGCTTGCCGCGTGGATGGCGGCCACAACGGCGACGAAGACGACGACGACGATGACGACGACGAAGACGAAAGCAAAAACGGCGGCGGCGACAACCCGTCAGCTTCCAATGCGCGCCGCTACCAGTCCGACGACAAATGTCGCCCAAGCGCAAAGAGAACTCTAGAAAGCTGAACACGGTCTATGTATATGCATTGGTCTCCGCTGGGTTTGCTGCCTTAATCAACAGGTACGTCGGCCAATCACGGAGTTAAACAGACACTAAGTCTAATGCATCGCCCTGGCCAGGCAGTAATCAAAATAGACGCTGCGAAGGCTCATGTGATCCCGGGGGTGGTCTCAACGGGAGGGTCCCGAGGGGGACCCAGGGAAAGTCCATGGTCAGAATGCCCCCCCCCACCCGGGGGCTCCCAAAGCCCCAAACCCCCCAAGACGAACCAAGACGAACCAAGAGGCCCCCAAGACGGTCCAGGAGGGCCCCGCATCGCCGAACTAATGGTCCAAGACGCCATATTAGCCTCCAGACGGCCCAAAAGGTCTCCAAGACGCTCCCAGAGGCCCAAAGAGCACTCCCAAACGAGGCAACAATCAGTGGTGTTCCAAAGGTATTTGATTAATTTTGGCATTCTCGCCCTTACGGCTTCCCGACACTCCAAGACGGCCCAAGAGGCCCCCAAGACTGCCCCAAGATAGCCCATGAGGCCTCGAAGCGGCCCCCAAGAAGACCCCAAAACGACCCAGAGGGCCCCAAGACGGCCTAAGAGACCTCCAAGACGGCCCAAGAGGCTCCCAAGACGGCTCCAAGAGAGCGCCAAAACGGTGGACCAGAACTGACATTTCGAGCCCTCGGCCTGAAAACCTCCAGGGAAACGCCCCCCAAGACGCCCCCAAGAGACCCCCAAGAGGCCCCCAGGAGGCCCCAAGCGGCCCCCAGGAGACTCCCAACAGGCCCTCAAGAGGCTCCCAAGAGGCCACAAAACTGCCCCCCCGAGGCCCCCGATAGCGCTCCGAAAAGACCACAAGAAGCAACCTTGAGGACTCTGACATACGTCAGCATCGTCGTGGGCGTTCAGGGTCGGCGGCAACGGCCGTAAGGCCTCTCCGATAGATGCTACCAAGGTTCGTGTGATCGCTGCCACCTCTAGAGACGCTTACCAGTCCAAAGACACATTGAATACATACATGTGTGTGCACTAATGTATGGATGCATGTATGAATACATGCATATATGTATAGATGTATATGTGTATGAGTGCATGGTTGTGTGTATGTATGTGTAATTGTATATAGGTATGTATGTGTGCATGCATGCATGCATGCGTGTATGCAGGTATGCATGTATGCATGTATGCATGTATGCATGTATGTATGTATGCGTGTATGCATGTGTGCATGTGTGCATGTGTGCATGTATGCATGCATGTATATATGCATGTATGCATGTATGCATGTATGCATGTATGCATATATGCATGTATGCATGTATGCATGTATGCATGGATGCAGTATGTGTATGCATGTATGAAAATATGCATACATGCATGGATGCATGCAGTTATGTATGTATGCCTGTATGCCGGTCTGTCTGTATGTATGCATATGCATATGATTGTAAGTATGTATATGTATGCGTGCATGAATGCATTTGTTTAGTAGACATGTATGTATGTGTGTATGTACATGTATGTGTATATGTAGATGCATGTGTATGTGTATGCGTAATTGTATATGTATATGTGTACGTATGCGTATGTGTGTGTGCATGAGTGTGTATGTATGTATGCATGTGCGTGTGAATGTATGTGTGTATGTATGTATGTATGTATGGATGTATGTATGTATGTATGTGTGCACGTGTGTATGTATGTGTGTATGCGTATGGATGTATGGATGTATTAATGTACGGACGTATGCATGTATGCATGTATGGATGGATGGATGTGTGTGCGTATGTATGGATGTATGTATGTACGTATCAATGTATGCACGTATATATATATATATATATATATATATATATGGATGTATGCATGCATGCATGCATGCATGCATGCATGTATGTATGTATGGAAATATGTATGTGTATGTATGTACTTATGTGTATTGAAACTTGCCATGGGTCGGAATTGACGACGCTCTGAAGCTCACATGAACAGAGCGGCAAGAACACGAACTCGACAAACGCAGGCACGATAGTGTCAAAGTATTTCATAAAACGATGGCAACAATTCCCAACCACGTTCTGCACTGTCTGTGCTCCGAGAGCCGTTCCCAGGCGCCCTCCAAGGATGCGAAAAAAAGCATTCCAACGCCCATGAAGTTTTGATACAATGCTCGCTGGAATCCTGCAGCCAAAATATGCCAAAGCGGTGGGTTCGGCGCAGAATCTGGCTCGTCCAGCCAGGGCGGTTTCAGTGGTGCCCGGTGCATGGTAAATCAAGGCGACAAGTGGAAGCTCTGCTGCCTCCGAATTCAGACTTGCGTCAGGCACGAGCCCCACTGGGAAGTCCGAGGAGCCTGCTGGGAGCAAGTCTTCGAGCGACAGTCTGGATTTCCATAGGAGTCGAACCTCGATCCTCGGCAGACGGATTTCGTTGAGGAGAGTCTTGATAGCATGGCGGGCAGTTACCGGCCTCAGATGAGATCTAAGCTCGCAACACCGCGGCCAGCTAAAGCCGAAATTTTGCCGTGAGCCAAACGTGGCTACGACGGCGACGGCGAAGGCGGCGACGAAGGCAGTGGCGGCGCACCTACGCTGGCTCTTCTCCTGGTCGTCCCTGGCCTTCGCGGCCGCGTGCTCCTGGCAGCGGACGACGAGCGCGGTCGGACGAAGACGACGACAACGACGACGACGGCAGCGGCGGCGAAGACGACGACGACGACGGACGGCAGACGACGCACGACGGACGACGGACGACGGACGACGACAACGACAACAAAGACCGATCCTGGTCAGCCCCGATCTTTCCTCCTCCTGTTCCTTCCTCCTCCTTCTTCTTCACCTCCTCCTCCTCCTCCTCTTCCTCCTCATCGTCCTCCTTCCGCGTCGTCGTCACGCGCTCCTGCCAGCGGGGGTCCCGCTTCTGCACGTACCCCACCAGGCGACGGACCTCGGGTTACCAATTGGCCGCTGCACCGCCACGCCACCCGAGAACACAAGGGGAAGGTGCGAGGACGGACCCCCGAAAGCCTAGTCCAGGGCGAACCCCGCCGCAAGGGCTGCGCCCTCACGGGCTGGCCGACGGGACTCGCCAAAGACGGGCCGAGAGCGTGGTCCGAACTGTTTAGCAGGCGTGGAATGGGCCCCAGGTGCTCCCAGCGTCCCGCGCAACCCTGGACCCCCATGAGGTCCTCTGGGTCTCGTGAGGGGTACGCTGGCGGCCCTTTGGGGCTTTCCTGGGAAAGCTGGGGCCACCTTGGGCCAGGGCCAGCAGGGGCAACGCCTGATCACAGGCGTCCTAACCGCTCCACCAGCAAACCGAGGGAGAGAAGGAAGGAGTACGGGGGAGGAGAAGAAGAAGGAAGAGGGGAAGGACGGGAGGAGGACAATCGAAAAGGAGGGCGCGGAAGAGGACGAGAAGGACAAAGAAGACATGAGTACGAAAAGGAGGCAGACGAGGAAACATCAACGCTGGGAACGGCAATGGGGGAGGAAAGGGAGGAGGGAAAGAAGGGGAAGAGGACCATCGAAAGAAGGAAGACGAGGAGGATGAGGAGAAGGATGGGAGCAGGAAAAGGATGACGAGCACTAGGAGCCTGCGGGAACTGCACCAAGGGGGGCAGGAGAGGCAGGAAGGGGGCGGGACGATCGAAGAGGGAGTCGACAGGGGATGAGCAGGAGGAGCAGGAGCAGGAGTCGGAGGAGTAGTTATACGATGACGCGACTACGCTGGAAACGGCGCTGGGGAGAAAGACGGGATGTAGGAGGCGTCGAGGAAACGGGCACGCTGGGAAGGGCGTTGGGCGGAGAACCAGGGGGATGAAAGGAGGAAGAATACGATGGAACGTCTACGCTGGGAACGGCGCTTGGGCGAGGAGGAAAGGGGGACACTCGAGGAGGAGCGAGGAGAACGCGGAAGACCAGGAGGATGACAGGTGAAGGGAAAGCCGAAACAAAAAAACAAATACGTTGGGAAGGTCGCGGGGGGATGGGGAGGAATAAGCGTTGTATCTCCGCGCCCTGGAACAAGGCTCGCGGACGGGTTTTCAAGATGGTCACAAAGGTATTCTCTCGCCTGCCACAGAGAGAAATCCTTTTCTAATGAAGACAGCCTGGGCGACCAAAAACAAGAGCTAAACTTGCAACTTGGTTTTAACGTAAACCCAAAACACGCACACACAAAACAAACACCCACAAAAACAACGAAAACTTGTGGTGTGTACAATGCTTACGCATGCACAAATTGATTCCTAGTGTGTGTGGCCTTCAAGTAGAACCCAATTGTGGAAAATCTACAAACTCATTCCTATGGTGTACGATGCAACCGAAATCATTGTTGTGTACACTTACCATTTGATTCGTACCCCGCGGCCTTCACATAGGATTCTGCTGCGCATAACTCAAGGCAAGCCAGGGTGGGGCCCTAGCCGGCGAACAGCACACAAAAAAAACGAGATACAACTTGGGTGGCCAAGATCGCTGCGTTTTTACTTTTAAAACGGTTTGTAAAGCCAAACACACACACACACACACACACACACAGTGGCCAAGACGCGTGCCCTCCGAGCGCAGGAGCTGACCGTGGCGCTGCGCTGCGGAGCGGCGGGCGCCGCTGACGACGCCAAGGCGCGCCCGAGGGCGGCCGTGGACCAGTGTCGTCAGGCCGCGGCCCAGTTCGACGGCACGATGGCCCTCTTCGAGCAACGGCGCGAGGCCCTGCAGCGAGCCGTGGAGGGTTCTGCATCGAGAGCGCCAGCTGCGCGGATGGCCTCATGAAGCGGCCAGGAGGCATGCGAGGCCGTTGTGCCCGCGGCGCGCCTCTGAGGGGCCCCCAGCGGCTAGGTGTGCTGCCCCCCTTGGCGCGGTTTCCGCCGTGGCTGAGGGGCCCGAGGGGCGGTCCGTCCCTTGGGGTGCCTGGGCCCGCATTCGCCGTGGGCGGGGCCTGGGCTCGGCGGAGCAGCCTCGCATGTTTGCGCACCCCTCGGCACTGTCGTGCCTACAGGCCTGGGGTGGGGCGTGGTCCCCAGTGGCCCTGGATCCGCCGCCCTGGGGTGCTGGGGGGGCGCGTCCCCTGGCACGGCGGTGGGGAGGCTCAGTGGCCCCCCGTCATGGCTCGGTAGGCCTGGCGGCCCGAGAGCGCAGCGCAGGGGCTGCGGGCCCGAAGGCTGCGGCGAGGCGCGGACGCCCCGCAGTGTCCGATCACCAGAATCACCAGAAACACCATACACGAAGAGAGAGAGAGAGAGAGAGAGATGCAAGGATGCCCTGTGTTTCGAGTACGTTAACTAATTATTATTACGTGGCCTTCAAGTTAAATCCCTTGTTTGGGGATCTGCAATTTGGTATGTGTGCACGATACACTTGAAATCCTTTCGTGCAGCCTTACCACTTGATCTCAATTGCGCGGCCTTGTCGCCTTCCACAAAAATGTGATTTGAAGGCCGCAGGGTAGGACTCAAGTTTAAATGCGGGGCCATTGTAGCAACATTAAATATCGTTGGTGTCAGGTTGGCGTGTTTTGTGTTTTGGGGCTTACACGTTTTGCTTTGACCGAAATAATGACTATAAAAACCTCACCCAAGTTGCTGGTTTGGGGATTATTGTCTTATTCGTCAGCCAGGGCTAAAATTGGCACCTGTGCCGCTGGGTGCCCTCGTGGCGTCCCAGGAAAACAGGCGGGTTGGCAGCCACCCATGGCGGCTCCCCATTGGGGTGCCCAAAAGCCACGCCTGCTTTATCGCGGTGAACACTGAACCACCCAAAGATAGAAGACTGGGGGCAGAACCAGCCGAACCACAAGAGACATCCCCTCAATCCGAGCGCGAATCCTGGGGTGCCCGAAGGCCACGCCTGCAGTATCGCGTTGAGCAGTGGACCACCAATAGAGAGAGCAGAAACAAGCAAACCGCGTGAACATCCCCCCAATCTGAGCGCGAGTCCTGGAGTGTCCCCACCCTGGAGGCTCCTCCCTGGGGTGCACAGGTGCCACGCCTGCCAGATCGCGGTGAGCAGAGGACCACCAGAAAAATCTGAGCGAGTCTGAATGAGGAATGAGTGTGTCGGAGTAAGAGGGAATCAAGGTCTGTATGAGTGAGAGAGCGTCTGAGGCTAAATTTCTGAGTGGGTCTGAAAGATTGTGAGTGAGTCTGAGCCTGAATGAGTCTGAATGAGGAAGGAAGGAAGGAACGCCGGAGCCGTGCGTGCTCCACTGGGGAGCCCGCCCGTGCCGTTTAGGGCATGGCGTTGAAGGCGAAGTGCAAGGCAAAGAGAGTATGTGATGGAGCCCGTGAAGAAGAGTGGGTCTGTGATGGACCCCGTGGTTGGCGTGAGAGATCCCGTCATGAGTGCGTATCTCAACGATATGAGAAAAAAAGAAAAGGAAGAGGAGGATGAGGCGAGAGAGGAGGTCCGGAGACGTCGAACTAATCAAAAGAACCCCGTCTTAGAAAATGGGGATTCAGACTACGATATCACTACTCTACCTTCCTACTTTTCCATGTTTCGCAGTTTGGCAATTTGCAGGCAGCGCGTTTCTACTGCTCTACGTTTCTACTTTTCACTGTTCGCGCCCCCCTTCAGGAACGCCGCCGAAAAAACAACGAAAACCAATACAGTCGGACCTGGGCCAGAAGTACATCCCTCAAGGACATGAGACCATCCGCTGGCCAAAACAAACAGAACATCCAAGGGTACCCTCCCCAAGGTGCACAAGGACATACAGCAAGCACGAAGAACACTAGGGTACCCTCCCCGAACCGCCCTCGATCTTGTACCTCGGTCCGACTGTAGTTCCCATAAGAGGACGAGGAGGGCGAGGACGAGGAGGAAAGCGAGGGACCACAGAAGCAGGGGCATGGAGGGAGGAAGAATGAGCGAGAAGAGAGAAGGAGAGGAAAGCATAGTGCGATGACGATAAGAAGGAGAACGAGGGAGGAGAGAGGACGGAGGTGGGAAGGCATGGCAAGGATACGGGAGAGGAGAGACAAAAGGGAGAAAGAACGCGGAGGGAAAGAGGATGATAGGGGAACAGGGAGGGGCGAAGGGGACAGCGGGAGGCGGGAGGGATGAGAACGAGGACGAGGAGGGGAAGGAGGAGGGGAAGGAGGATGCGGCCGCTGGACCTCGGAGTTGAAGTCCTTCTTTGCAGCATCGCGCAACTTGGCGTTCTGCTTCTCGATTTCCCTCCTCAGCTTGCGGTTCTCCGCCTCCCCCACCTTCCACTCGCTGGCGTCCTCGAAAGACTTCCTCGTGGAGAACTCCGTCCAGCGCCTGCAGCAGGAGAAGAGGAAAGGAGGTGCAGGAAAGAGAGGGATGGTGGAGGGAAGTGGGAGCCCAGACATGCCCGCGTTGTCAAAAACAACACAACGGAAACGAGACATCGCAGAATAGGCAGGACAGGCGCTCGGGAGGGGTGCAAGTGACAGCGGCAACAGCAGGAAAGGTTTTCGTAGGAGGGAGGATAAGGAGGAGGAAGAGGAAGGAGGAGGAGGAGGAGGATAAGGATGGTGATGGTGGTGATGATGATGATGGTGATGATAATGATGATGATGATGATGATCATGATCATGATGATGGTGATAGTGATGATGATGATGGTGGTGGTGGTGGTGCTGTTGGTGATAACGGTGGGGATCAGAATGATGATGATGATGATGATGATGATGATGGTGATGATGGTCATGATGGTGGCGATGCTGATGTTGATGGGGGTGATGGTGATAAGGATGATCATGATGATGATGGTGGTGGTAATGATGATGCTGGTGATGGTAATGGTGGTGATGATGGTGCTGCTGATGATGATGATGATGGTGGTGAAGATGATGAACATGAAGATCATGATGATGATGATCATGATTATGATGATGGTAGTGGTGATGGTGATGGTAATGGTCATGAAATGCTGATGATGATGGTGATGGTGATGATGATCATGATGCTGCTGATGATGATGATGCTGGTGTTGGTGTTGGTGATGATGATGATGATTATCATCATCATCATCATCATCATCATCATCATCATCATCATCATGGTGATGATAATGATGATGGCGGTGCTGCTGCTGGAAGTGGTGATAATGGTGATGATGGTGATGATGATGGTGATGGTGATGATGATGAGGAGGATGATGATGATAATGGCATGCTCTCGAATCGTTGTGACAAGCCGCCTGGCTACGATGTGAAACGAAGTACGGGAACTTCTCGACGTATTCACCATGATGCCCAAAGATACCAGCATCTGTCCAACATGTTCGCAACGTAACGTTGAGATGCGCCCACCATCTAGGCCGTGTTTCTCGATCCGTGCAGTCTGGTTGAATCGAAGAACCTTGCCGCGGGCAGCGCGGGTGCGAGTTCGTGTAGTCCAGCCTCGAACAATGTCGAAGTCGTACGGTCTGCGATATTCGACCCAACATCTGCATTGGCATGTGATGGGGGGGAGGAGGAGGATTGTTTTGAGGTCGACTCGCATTCAGCCTAAGGTTGCAGCGAACTGGTGGCGAGCAAGTATGCCCTGAACTCCACACGAAACTGTACAACTGAACAAGAGCAATCACAATGAGGTCCATGAGCGACACGAAGGGCAGAAGAGGAACAGCAAGAGGAAGAGGAAGAGGAAGGAGGAGGAGGAGGAGAGGAAGAGGAGGAGGAGGAGGGAGGGAGGAGAGGAGGGGAGGAGGAAGAGGAGGTGGAGGAGGAGGAGGAGGAGGAGGGTGGGGAGGACGCTTCGGCCCACCACAGCACAGCGTGCACAAGAGATGAGGTGCGGAAGAGAAAGCAAAGGAGTGCCAAAACCCTTGATGTTTTCAGCCAAAGCTGAAAAACGACACCGGTCCTTCACCCCTTCCAAACGGAGGGCGGCAGGGGAAACCGCAAGCGACTGGGCGTGCGTTGGGCCTTGGTGGACATGGGGGTCGGAGGCGAGGAGACAAGGAAGCAAGCAGGAGGAGGCGGAGGAAGATGAGGATGACATCGCGGCACATACATGAGCTCCCAGACGTCCGCGTGGATTTCTTGGATCGGCGCTGCATCGGGCCTTTTCCCTGGCGCGCGGGGGTGGCCCAGCGCCGATCCAAGAAATTCACGCGGAGCTCTACCGTCGTTTTCTTCGAAAGACGGGGATGGAGGAGGCGGAGGAGGATGCGGAGACGGAGGAGGAGGAGGGGGGGAGGAGGAAGAGGAGGAAGGGGAGGAAGAGGAGGTGAAGGAGGAGGAGGGGGAACTGGAGAAGGAGGAGGGGGAAGGAAGGATGGATGGATGGAGAAACCCCCAGGTGGGCAAGCATGGTGAGGCCTGGGGCAGGCCTCGACAGCGGAAGGGCCACGGAGCCCAGCTAGCTTCCGAAGGCGGCCTCCGCAGCACCCTCCCAGGAGGAGGGGGCGCCCCCCCAGGGCGCGGGGGCGAGAAGACTCGCCACCCTGCGCTGCGGGAACCCACCTCGACAGGGACCCCCGCCCAACCCCAAGCCGCCTCATGGAGACGCAGCGCGCAGATGCGAGACCTCTGGTGGGCGGAGAGGGAGTGAAGACGGTCGCACAACTCTCGACGTGGGCTCCCAGGAGATCTGCCTCTGCGTAGCCGGCGCACCGGGGACGCGCACTCATGAGAGCCCGCGCGCGCACGCCTCCCGCGACTCGGGAGGGATACGTTCCGCGCCCCCCAGAAACTTCGCCTCAGCGAACTCGCACTGGGACAGCAAGAGAACACGTGGAAAGGTGGGGCTGTGGACACTCACATCACTGAGGACACACTGCTGCCGGGCACTCCAAGACCGAGCACCAGCGACATGGCTGAGACGGGGAAGACGGCACTGGAGGCGGGCCAGTGCTCTGTGCCCGCCGAGCACATCCCAGGGGAGGGACAATCGAAGGCCTTCACCGATACCGACGCACGGCACGGCGCGGGGCCGAAGGGCGGGCATGGCAGCGGCGAGCCTTCCCCAGCCCCCCGCGGAGCGGAACGACACGCGATCCGCTTGCAGGGCACAGCGTTTCGCCCGGGCAAAGCTCGGCCGCCGGCGAGGTAGATGACCAAAAATTTCGGGCGCCCCGCTGCTGACGCGGTGGACAGCCCTTTGAACGCAATCGATCCAGCACACGGCAGTGACGCTGTCGAGCACTGGGAAGTTGAACACGCCGCTGTGCAGTGCGAGGCTGCGCGGCACGACGTTCGGCTCAACGACGCTGAGAAGCACGGAACGACCGAAGATTATGGCAGGAAGTACCCAGTCGAGGCTAGTTCCGGCACGCAGGTCCAGTCAGCCTTGTTCAAATCTGTCAAAGCTAGATTGCTGGAGGGGCCGGGAAAAGCTGACCACCAACAAATTTGTCGTTCTCGCTGGCTAAGCGCGGAGCAGCGTCGGCAAAGTGTGGGGGGCTGCTAACACAGCCGCCGAGTTCGCGGACCCGGCCGCTGGCGAGGTAGATGATCCGCAGAACGCAAACACTTAGGATGAATGAGCGAGCATCCGAAGACAGGTCACAGGACCACACTCAAACAAACGAAAAGATTAGGGCAAGGGCAGGGTCGTTCCTTGCCCGGCCTCCTTGGCCTGGATGCGCTGCATCAGCGCCTGCAGCCTGACCTCGTAGCCATGCACCTCCAAAGGCGCAGCAGGCACCTGGGGTAGGTCGCCCGCCGGATGCGAGTGATCCACCACCGTGCCTGCAGCGGTGCACTGCAGGGTTTCCGTATCGTGACAGGGACCCCTCCCCCGCCCGCAGAGGCTTGCGTGCATCCCACGCTCTCGAGGCCGCGATCCCTCGTAGAAAAACTATGGGTCCGCGCTCCCGAAGCCACGATTCCTCATACCAGACGATGGATCCACGTCCCGAGCTTCCACGACGGCCCATGCAGGCAATCAAGTACACCAAGATGGCCCAAGGTGCCTCGACGGCGGGCCAAGATGGCCAACGGCGGCCGAATGTTGCCTCAAAGCGGCCCATGATGCCTCCAAGACGGCACAAAAGGGCCACATAAGGACATGCAACAGGGTGCGAAGAAGCCGAAATCCGTGATTTCCTCTGACGTTTTTGAATGATTTTCACATTCGCGCCTTTTCGGGCTTCCGTCAGCTGAAGACGACCCAAGAAGTCCCCACGATGGCCTCAAGACGGCCCAAGACCGTCCCTACGAGGGTCCGAAGATAGCCCAAGAGCACCCCACGAGGGCCCAACAAGAAGACGGAGCAAGGATGGCTCAAAGATGGCCCAAGAGGGCCTCCCGTGGGACCCAGGACTGCCCAAGACGGCGCAAAAACGGCCCTCGAACAGACGCCACCCAAAATTCTGCGCAAGCACGGCGGGACGTGCCGCAGGCAGCTGGATAAATTGTGGCAGTGTGGCGTCGTCAAGCAGTGTGGCGTTGAGCACGCCGCATCGCAACACGACGTTGAGCCACAGCAAGTCGTTGACCAGCACGACGCTGAGCATGACGACGTCGTGCAGAACGACGTTGGCCTGAACGGCGCTGAGCACCACGACGCAGCCGAGCAGAACGTCAATCGGCACGCTGCATGACAATCTGAAGGGCGTCGCCGTGCAGGGCAGGGTCGGGGCGCGGCATACCACTCCCTAGAGGAGGTCCCGCGCTTCCGACCAGCCATAACTGGGGGAGCTGTGGTCCTTACCCCCCTGTGGGAACCCATCGCATCGACGATCTCTCGAGAGGGGTGGCGAAATCGTTGGGTCCCTCAGGGGGGTAAGGACCACAACTCCCCCAGTTGTGGTCGGCCTGCGCTTGGACCGGAGCCGCCTCTTGGGGGAGGGAGTGTCCCAGCCCAGGGGACAGCGCCAGAGGTCGGGGTCGAGGCCCGCGAGCGCAAGGCTGGGCGGGCGGCCTGCTGGCAGACGCGCCGTGGCCGAGCGCGCGTCCTCGGCTCCTTCCCTCCCTCCCTGCGCAGCCGCCCGATCGCGCACCAGAAAGGTAACTGCTGCACCTCTCAAAGGGAGGGAGGGAGGGACCTGGCGGCACGCACTGCCCCCATCGCCCCATCTCCCCCTCTGCGCGCACACCACTGCCTCTCCACTGCCCCTCCCTTCACACCCCCCCCGCCATCCCTGCGAAAGGAGAAAAAAGGAGGACGGGGCAGACGGAGGAGGGAGGAGGAGGGACAACTACAAGGACGATGGCGAAGAGAGGAGAAGGAGGAGGAGGAGGAGCAGGAGGAGGAGGAGAAAGAGGAGGAAGGGGAAGAGGAAGAGGAAGTGGAAGAGGAAGTGGAGGAGGAGTAGGAGGAGGAAGAGGAGGAGGAGGAGGGAGATGAGGAGGCGGGAGAACGAGCAAAACGACGACAACGACGACGAGGACGACGAGGAGGACGACGAGGACGACGACGAAGACAACGACAGCAGCAGCCGCCGCCGCCATCGGCGCCGGAGGGGCCGGCCCAAGGTCGCCGCAGGCTGCCGGCATCCCGCGGGCGCCTGTAGAACAGGGAGACCTCGGCCCAGCCGCTGGCGGCAGCCCCGAACGGCGGCAGCCGCTGCAGTTCCTCGGCATCGGCCTCGGCGGCCACGGCGCAGTCCTCGCCTAAGACGAAGCCAGGAAGATGATAAATTCGTGCGAGTGAAGGAAAAAGAAACGCCATAAACATAGATTGTTTGGCGGTCCGCGCGGATTTCTTGGACCAGCGGTGGACCCCCTCCTTGGTGGCGCCCCCGGCGCCGTAAAGTTTATGATTATGCCGTTATACTTCTTCGAATGAGGGTAAATCAAGAATCTCTGTCGGGTGTTGCTAGAAGTGCCCCTGGCCAGAGTGCCCCCAAGATTTCCAAGGAGGCCCCCACAGCTCCCAGAGAACCCCTCACGAGGCCCAGAGGGCCCCAGGGGCCTCAAAATGAAGCGAAAAGCTGGCAACCCACGATTCTGAGATCTGGCGGCTCTGGAGGATGTCTCGGGCGCCGCGGCCTTCTCAGAGCGTTCCAGCACGGGCACGCTCCGAGACCGTTCCAGAACACTGTGGAACGCACACTATTTGTCCTAGCCCCGTCCGATCGCCGTCCCGGATGGAGGAGAAGAATTCGGAGTACAACGCGAAGAAGCCCTCCTCCTGCCAGGAGCGGTGGCAGGGGGGCAAAATCTGCGCCCCTCCCTCCTCCTCCCCCTCCTCCACCACCACCACCATCTCCTCCTCCTGTTCCTCCTCCTCCGCCTCATCATCCTTCTCCTCCTCCTCCCCCTCCTCCTCCTCCTCCTCTCCCTCCTCCTCCCTCCTCCCTCCTCCTCCTCCTCCCTCCTCCTCTCCTCCTCCTCCTCTCCCTCTCCACCCCCTCCTCCCCTCTTCCTCCTGTTGCTCCCTTCCTCCTCCTCCTCCTCGTCCTCCTCCCTCCTCCTCCTCCCTCCTCCCTCCTCCTCCCTCCTCCTCCTCCTCCTCCTTCCTCCTCCTCCGCCTCCTCTTCCTCCTCTTCCTCATCATCATCATCATCATCATCATCATCATCATCATCATCACCATCACCACCACCACCACCACCAATCATCATCATCATCATCATCATCATCATCATCATCATCATCATCATCATCATCATAATCATCATCATCATCATCATCATCATCATCGTCATCATCATCATCATCACCATCATCAGAATCATCATCAGCATCATCATCAGCATCATCATCAGCATCATCAGCATCAGCATCATCATTTTCCTCCTCCTCCTCCTCTTCCACGTCCTCCTCCTCCTCCTCCGCCGCCCCCTCTCCCCCTCTCCTCCTCCACTTCCCCCGTCTCCATCGCCCAGTGCCCCTCGCCCGACGGAGGGGGAAGCAAAGGAGGGGGGAGGAAAGGGCAGTGATGCCACGGGCGCTCGCCCTCGCCCAGCGGCTTGCGAAAGAGGAGGAGGGGGAAAAAGACGGGCGGGGGGAGGACACGGGACGTGCAACAATTGAAAACGACAGCGTAGAACTCACACTTCGGACGAAGTCGACGGCGACGGAAACGACGTTGTGTGTATGTGATGATGGGCTCTGGAAGCTATAGTAGATCGGAACGGCAACTGGGAGCGAAATATCCTGCGACGTACCCAATCCATCATCATCAAGTGACGAGAGGAATTGGCCCAAATTTGCCAAAAAGATAACAACGCTGGCGCGGTTATGATGCGCAAGTTACATGGGATGCGCTCATGTGATACAATTCATTGGACAACAACGGAAGGGCGAGGAGCGAGGGGCCAGGCTTGAGGAGGACATGGGGCGGGAACGAATGGCAGGAGAAGGGCGCGCGAGGGGCCGAACCGCCAACGCGGCAGCAGCAGAGGGAAGGTGCCGAAGGGCAAAGGACGACGACGAATGTGACGGGAGGAAACCGAAGAGCGCTGCTTTTGTAGATAGCACGCTGAAGATGCAGCGCTGCCTGCGCCATGTCGCCGCGGCGCTCGAAAGACTCAAACCTGCTTATAGCGAACGCAAGAACCGAGCGAGGCCTAGCTCGCTCACCGGCAACTCTGCCTCGTCCCTGCACTTTTCAGCGCGGGAGCTGAAAGCTCGAAGACGCGCGGCCAGGTCTGCGGGCGACCCGCGGGCCAGGAAATCCTGGCAGGGGCCGCGCATCATTAGGAGGTTGTCCACGGTCATCGCCCTTGACAGCATCACGTGCAGATGCAGCCAGAGGTCAGCAATGGGCCTCCCATCCCTGCAGCCAGCATCGACAATGACACCGCGACGCACGGCGCGGCCATGGCAGGCCGTGGCCGTCAGACCTTCGGCATGGGAGATGGCCAGGTCGGCGCGCGTGGCCTTCTGCTTCCTGAATTGAAACAAACGGGCTCGAACTCTGCGGTTCGATGAAGTGAGCTCCGCGAGCTTCTTGCCGCAGGGGCCCGCCTTGCCTTTGCCCATGCACACACACACACACGCATTACAGCAGCTGCCGCAGGTACGCCGGACGTCGCTCGCTTCGCTGCCTCAACCTCGCCCTCCATCTTTCGGGTTGACTTCAACGTGGACGACCTCGCCTTCGGCGTCCATGACGAGCCCTCGTCTGGCCCAAGTGCTCCAGCAGGCGTATGCACATGCCCACGTGCAGGGGTAGCATCCCGTGCACGTTGCCCGTCTCACCAAGGCTAGAGCAATTTACCAGCTTCGCGGCCATGTGGGGGACGGCGAGGTCGAATGTGAGTCTGCGTAACACGTCGCTCCGCCGCAGCGGCTCTCGAAAGTGGCAACAATTGGCGACAGTTTCGCAGATCGCAGCCCCGCAGGGATGGCGAGGTCGAATCTGGGTTTGCGTAGCACGTCATTCCGCTGGACCCCCCAGCAGCCCTCGATCGCAGCCACCCAGGGATGGCCAGGCAGGAGGCAACCTGGCACGCAGGAAGGAGCGAGGTCAGAGGCGGGAGAGAGGGGGAGAGGGGGGCGGGAAGCACGGAAGGCAGGCGTGCGAAAAGGGTGCTCTGATCAAACAACGAGTACCAAACGCAGGAGGGTTGGGAGATAAACTTCCCATCTCTTGCCTTTACAGGGTATCACGACTGATGCCCACTGCCAGGGCTGAAGCAACTTTGCTTTATGTCGGGCGTGTCCCCCTACAGGGGGGTTTTCTACGATCTATATACAAATATATACATATATACATATGTGTACACATGTGTATATATATATACATACATTGTCAAAAAATACTCAAAAAATAGTCCCCAGGCTGGCATTGTTTATTTTTCGTCGAAAATCCCCCTGTAGGGGGACAGGCCCGACTAAAGGCTGAAGCAGCTTTGCTGCGAGCGATGTGTGCGGGCGGGGGCACGGCGCTCTCTCTCGAGCGCGCGAGGCCAGGGATGGCAGTGAGCCAACACGGGACGGAGCACCGACCGAGCAGACTGCTGGCGCCCTCGCTGCCGGGGCCGTGCGCGAAGCGAACACGTTCGCCCGAACTCGAGGGAGGGAAAAATAGGGGGACGAAGAGTTACATAAACATACAAACTCGGAGGTCCGCGCGGATTTCTCGGATCGGCGCTGGACCCCCCTGGCGGCGCCTCCAGCGCCGCCCCTGGCGCGCTCCGCGCGCCAGGGAGAGGGGTCCAGCGCCGATCCGAGAAATCCGCGCGGACCTCCGAGTTGTTATGTTTATGTCATTCTTCGTCCCTCTAAAGAACGACAACGACGTCGGCGGCAACGCCTCATCCTCATCGTCCTCTCCCTCGTCCTCCCCTTCTCGCCTTCCTCACCACCGCAACCATCGTGTCGTCCCTCCTCGTTCCCCATCGCCTCTCCTTCCCTCGGGCGAGGAGGGGCAGACACACACACACACACACGGCAGCGGCAGCAGCAGTGGACAGGGGCAGGGGGCGAGGCGGCGGGCCGCACCCCCCCGGGGGAACGTCAGCAATGGCGCAATACACCATCCCGTCACGTTGTCAGAGCGGTATGGGGACCCCCCCGTTGAGACACGAGGGCCCCCTTCGGCCTGCCATCTGCGCAGGAGCCGCGTCCTGAGAGAGCACCGCCCTCAATCTTTTTGGACCTGTGAGGCGCAAGTGGCGAGCCCGTTGAGTGGGAGGGAATGCGAACATGAAGTTTTACAGATGCACACACGCGACGATTCAGAAGCGTACTCCAGTTGTGCTACACGATAGACGACGAACCAAGACATCAGACGATGGACGCCGGCCATCAAAAAACGAAGGACGGCGCAAACGACAGTAACGACGACGACGACAATGGGCGGCGGCGGGCAGCAAGGGCGGCGAGTCCTCGGCGGGGCTCATGGTGCCGGCGTGGGCCCGGCCCGCGCAGGTTTTGAGGGCCATCTCGTAGTAGTTGGCCTTCCTCTCCTGGCCCCGGTGGGGGGGGAGGAGGCGGGCGGGCCAGGAGGAGGAGGGGGCGGAGGAGGAGGACCTGTGCAAGCACAGCGGGCGCCAACGATGCTGCAAATAAACCCTCCCTCCAAGTTCCCTCATCACTAGACCCTGCCAGATTTGACTTTCATGGCAAGAGGTGGCCCACTGAAGGACAGCCGCCCAAAGAACTCACATCCCCAGACTCACGTCCCGAGACTCCAAACAGGGGAGATGCCTCGCCAGGACTACGTAAACGAAACAAAAAAAAAAAAATCGCAATCTGCATGTAATCTGTTTCAGGTACCCCTCAATTTCCGAAATCTCCGATAATCCCAAATCGCACTGAAAGCTAATCCCTGGGACTTCAAAGCCGCGAATGGACGTGACCGTTGCGTTCTGACAGTCCTGACTCGCGCCAGAACACCATTACTTCGACTTCAACGCCGCGGATTCACAGGACAGTTGCGTCCTTACACACCAGAGCATCATTCCTGGCACTTCACCATGCGAATCCTTGAAGCTGTTTGGTTCCAAACCTTTGAAACGAATGCGTGCGGCGCTAAAGCGAGAGCTCTATTTTACAAAGCGGTCGTCCTCGATTCTGACAACGTTGTAAACTTCAAAAACCAGAAACATGGATGATGTTGGGAACGTCTCAGGCGAAACTCCCGGCCCAGCCTACTTTTAAAAAGCTCAACACTTCACAGCCATCACAGTCCAAGCAGCGGCGGGGAGAAGGCGGGAGGAGGAAAGAGGAGGTAGAGGAAGGACGGGGGAGGGAATGATGAGAGGGAGGAGGGAGAAGGGAGAGGGACAAGGCGAACGAGAGGGGGGGAGGGGGAGGCGGAGGGGGAGGGGGAGGAGGAGGAGGAGAAGGAGGAGGAGGAGGAGGAGAAGGAAAGGGAGGAGGAGGAAAGGGAGGGGGAGGAGGGGACAATGGGGAGGCGGAACAAAAAGGAGGAGGACGACGAGGAGGAAAGGCAAGAAAACTAAGAGGAAGGTCAATGCATTAACAGTGAGGATCAGTTCGCCAAGAAAACGAGACACCCGCCTCCTCCTACATCTCGTCCCCTTCCGTGCCAGGGGCGGGCCTCATCCTACTCTTCGTTCTCCCCCCCTCCATGGACGAAGAGGAGGAAGAAGGAGGGAGGAGGGAGGGGAACGAAGGGGGGGACGACAAAAGAGGAGGTGAAGGAGGTGGAGTGAGGAGGGAGGAAGAAGTTAGAAGGGGAACGACCTTCTCCCCTACCTCCTCCTCCTCCTCCTCCTCCTCCTCCTCCTCCTCCTCGTCCTCCTCCTCCTCCTCCTCCTCCTCCTCCTCACCATCAAACTATAGACTCCACCCTCTCCTTCTCCACATAATGTGCAATCCTCCTTCTCCTCGACATCACCACCCGCCTACTGCCAACTCCCTCCCAATCCGCATATCAATGGTATCGTATCTTCGTCTTCGACTGCTCCTCCTCGTCCTTCCCCTCCTCATATCCGTTCTCCTCCACCTCCTGCTCATCATCATCATCATCATCATCATCATCATCATCATCATCATCATCATCATCATCATCATCATCATCATCATCATCATCATCATAATCAGCATCATCATCATCATCATCATCTTCATCATCAGCAGCAGCAGCATCAGCAGCATTATCATCATCATCATCATCAGCAGCATCAGCATCAGCATCAGCATCATCATCATCATCAGCAGCAGCATCATCATCATCATCATCCTCATCGTCGTCATCATCGTCATCGTCATCAGCATCAGCATCAGCATCCCCATCATCAGCATCAGCAGCATCATCATCATCATCATCACCAGCATCACCCATCATCAGCATCATCATCGTTAACAACATCATCATCAGAATCATCGTCATCAGCATCATCATCATCAACGACATCAGCATCATCATCATCATCAGCATGCACAGCATCCTCCTCATCTTCCTCCTCCTCATCATCATCGTCACCGCCACCACCACCATCAACATCACCAGCACCATCATCATAACCATCAGCATCGTCAGCAACATCATCAACAGCATCAGCATCATTATCATCACCAGTATCACATTGGTCGTTATCATCAGCCTCATCATCATAATATTCAGCATCAGCATTACCATCAACATCAGCATAGTCATCGTCAGCATTACCATCGCTACCATCATCGGCATCATCAGCATCATCAACATCATCATCAGGGTCATTATCATCATCATCAGCAGCAGTAGCATCATCACAATCATCAGCATCATCATCAGCAGAGTCATCAGCATCATCATCGTCACCACTACCATCACCATCATCATCATCGTCAGCATCAACATCAACATCATCATCATCATCATCATCATCATCATCATCATCATCACGGTCGTCGGCATCGCCGGCATCGTCACAGTCATCATCACCAACACCACCACCATCACCATCGTAACCATCATCACCGTCGTCGTCATCATCGTCAACAGCAACATAATCATCAAAATCTGCACCCCATCATGGTCATCATGGGCGTCATCAGCATCATCATCAGCATCGTTATCATCAACAACTGCAGCATCATCAGTATCATTAGCACCAGCAGCGTCAAAACCATGATCAGTATAATTATGTTTGTCATCATCGTCACAGCTTTCGCGCTTTCATACACGGCTCAGCCTGGAGAACTTCAGAAGACAATGTCAATTGTAAGATCTGCGAGATTTGAGGCCTTCTGGAGTGGCCCTGCTCCGAACAAGTCCGTGCTTCTACAGATCGCACCGCGGGCACGGCTGGAATCCAACGGGAAACAGACCAAGCGGGCACCAACGAACCTGAGCAGCCCAGAAGAAAGATACTGCAAAAAATTGGGCAGGGATGGGAAGTGGATTGGGAAGTTAGGGAGCACATAGCGAAGTTTAGGAAGATCGAGCTGTATCCTGGGAAACAAGTGAGAAGCACGAGCCAGATCTCCAAACATGCCCTGGCGTCACAACTTCCAGCAAACATGGAATGGGGGAGAGGAAACGGGCTCTGGTCAAACAAAACAAAACATCATCAGCATCATAATCATCAACAACATCATCATCAGCAACACCATCATCATCAGCAGCATAATCATCAGCACCAGCATCACCGTTAGCATCATCATCAGCATCATCAGCATCAGCATCACCACCACCATCGTTAACTATCGTCATTATTACCACCGTCATCATCCTCACCATGATCATCAGCATCGTCAACCTTTGTTGTTGACATGGCACAACCCTCGCGCTACCATACGGAACGCGTCAAAAAGGTCATCAAACGTTGCGGGATAACAGAATAAAAACCCGCGCACTGGGACGCACATCTACTGAGTGGACTAGGGCTGCAAGTTTCCGCGCCAATCCCGAAAAGTCAGCAATGTTGCGCACTGAAATACCGCGCGTGGGTGACGTGGCGAAGGGGGGAGGCAGAAGGCAGGAGGAGCACGGGGAGAGGACGCCAGGGACCGTTTTTGAACCGCCGGCCCCTCGGGAGCGCAGGGCCCCGTTATCGCCGGCCGCTGCGTCGAAGCCGGCGCGGGCACGCGCGCTGAATCAACGCGCTTGCGTGGCGAAGGGCAACGACAAAGGAGAGGGGAGGACGAGGCAGACAGCAAAGCAGCAGGGCGGGACGGGCGGGGTCGGCAGGGTCGTGCGTTGGCCGTCAGGCGTCGGTCCGCCTTCATATGGGAGCGCGGAGCGGGGGGGGCGGTGGCGGAGGCGGCGGGGGGGCGGACGGGGCGGGCGGAGGCAGAACGGGGGAGAACGTCGACTCAATCGACGCTGGGGGGCCGACAGGAGCGGCGGGGGGAAGGAGGGGGGCGGGGAGGGGCGGGGACGGAGGCCGGAGGCGGAAGGCGAGTGGGCTGCGAGGCCGGCCGGGCGCCGGGACGCCTATACCGGCACGCGGTCTGGCACCAGCAAGCCTGGACTTGCCTTGCGGCTCGGCCCCAGAGCACAGCGCCGAGCGCGGCGCACAGCCGCCAGCACCGCCACCCCCCGTCGGAGCAGCCACGCCTCCGCGATTGTTTGGTCGCGAGAATGTCGCGCGGGGGCGGGGCCGGCCGTAGCACGCAAACGCCAGCGGCTGGCACGTGGTGTTCTGCCGTGCCAGAGCGTCCGCGCGCGCGGAGTAGCACTCGACTTCGCGCCGGTACATGGTCGCCGCGCAGTCCAGGCCATCGGCCGCGGCGTCGGGCGAGGCCACGCCGATGCCCGGGGCCGGGAGGCCGCTGCCCAGGGCGCCGGCGAGGACGTCCGCCGGTCGGAGCCGCGCGCCCGGCACCAGGCCCGGGGCCTCCAGCTCGGCGCCCGGGTCGCAGACCCTGGCGGCGTCGCGCACCCGCCGCGCCACTGCGCGGTGCCCTCTGGTGGACTCCGCGCGGCTGGAGCACGGGCGTGCGACCCAGCCCTGCCCAAGAGGGTGGTGCCACAGGCCGCAGGGGAAGGGGTCGAGAGGCCCTGCTGCGCCGACGCGGAGGCGCAGGGCCTCGGCGAACTCGGGGGAGCCCATCAAGGGGCCCTTGTGCTTGGACAGGTTCCAAAGCCAAGTGCGGCCGCAGTCGGGGCGCACAAGGTCGTCGAGCCGCCGCAGTGCCGCGTCGTCGCCCACGTCCTGGTGCCGTTTGCGGAGGTCGCGCCTGCCCTGCTCGTCGAGGTCGTCGCCCTCGTCATCGTCGAGAGGGAGCAGGTGTCGGCAGATGCCCCTGGGGGCGGCCGCGGCGCTCGCGAGGCGCGGCCGCGGGCGCCTCCGCGCGCGGGTCGAAGAGCGCGGCCCACCGCTCCTCGGTTTCCGCAAGCGCCTCTGAGAGCGCAGCCACGAGGAGGCCGGCCGCCGATGGGGGGTGGCCTGAGGGCGAGGCGGGCCGCGGCCTCGTCTGCGCGCTGGTCGCACGCTGCCACGACGACTCCTGCGTCGCCCAGCCCTCCGTCTGCGAGGCGCGTAGCCATCCCGCGCGCACGCACACGCGGCTAGCCACGAAGGCGGCGAGCGACACTGACGTCGAGGTTTGCATGCCGAGCCCCCCCTTGCAGGTGCCGAGCGCGCACTGTTCCCACGCCGCGCCAGGGAGGTCGCCGCCGGCAACGAGTTGCACCGCCTAGCGAGAGCCGGTGCCGAACTGCCGCAGGTGCTCGTTCTTCACCTGTCTCCGTTGAGCCGGAGCTGGTGGGAGAGCTTCGATACGTCGGCGCACAGCCGCGTGAGCACCAGCTCGGCGGGGGCGTGCCCAACCTCCAGCAAGGCGAGGCGAGCGTCGCAAGCGTTGGCGAGCACGGCCCTGACCTGGTCGTCAAGCGCGTCGGGGCTGCCAAAAGGGGGCGCCAAGCGCAAGCGCGGGCCCTTCCGGAGCAAGCACCACGCAGGTGATTCGGACGCAGTCGGCGCCCCAGCCGAAGCCGCCCCCCTGTTCGGCGCCGCGGTCTGTGGTGAAGGTCTCGCCAGATGGGTAGGACTGTCTCGAAGGGCTCTTCTTGGTGCCAGGCGGTCAACACGGCGATCTCGGGGCAAGTCGCAGGGTCGACCAAGGCGCGCATCGCGTCCCACTCCGCGTTGCCGAACATGTTAACCAAGTCTACGTCCAGTGCCACCACGGATGAGATGGCGCCCTGCACGGCCAGTTCTTCCACCGTCCCGCGCCAATGCGCCATGGCCTCACAAGCGCCGGGCACGCCCACGCCCCACTGGCGAGCCGCGCGGAAGCGGGCGCGGAGGGTGGGCGAGCGTTGCTTGGTGTAGTGCTGCTTGGCGTAGCTGGTGCGGATCACCTCTCCCATCTTGATTTGCCGCGGTTTGCTGTTACGTTTGCGTTGCCACATGAGCCAGGTGCGGATGAGCCAGCACATGGGCGCCCGCAGCTGCTTGTTCCGCATGGCCGCGTGGAGCCGCCCCAAACGAAGGGAGACGGCCTCGCGTTGGCGGGGCACCGAAAAGAGCCTGGCGAGGTGCTCTGGCCAGGCGCCCGAAGGTCCAGGGAAGGTGAGCTTGCCCCACCGGACGCCGTCCAGGGGACCGCCGTCGGCTCAGGCGTCCTCGGGGTCGTACTCCTGCAGGGCTCCGCCGGAGGGCCTCGGCTCGGGCGCCAGCGCCCCGGGATGCCGCGCGGGCGCGGTGAATGCGGCCACTGGCCGACCCGATCGAGGGAGCAGCTCCTCGGCAAAGGCTCTGTCCTCGGCGGCGGTCGTCGGCAGCATGCTGGAGGTCAGTGAGGTCGCCGCCTTCCTGTAGGCCCTTTCTGCAGCAAGGTGCCTGGCCCTCCTCCCGTGGCGCTCTGGGTCGTCGACTCCGCGCGGCCAGCTGCGACCCCGAGCGCGGTCGATAAGGACCCGCTGCTGTTTCATTATGCCCAGAAGAAGGGCCGAAAAGTCGCCTGCCTCCCATAGGGCCGCACGGGTGCCAACCTCGTCTGCAGCGGCCATCCCTTGGGGGACCGAACCGAGGAGAAATTTGGAGCGGGCCTCCTCCAAGGCAGCCCACACAAGGTCGCCGTCGGCACAGCTGTTCCAGCACTGCTGGGCGATGCGGAGGAGCTGGAGCTGGCAGCTGAGCGGGATGTGGGTGATCGTGTTGCGGGAGAGCCGTCGGACGCGAGAGGTGAAGTTGGGCAGCAGCGTCGGCGCCGCGGCAGCGGGCGGGTCGTCGACCTGGGGACCTCCTTCCTCAACTGGCGCTGCGGCGGCAGGCGCAGCGCTGGCGTCCTGGCCCTGTGGTGGCGGTGCTGCAAGGGCCGGGCCAGCGAGAACGTCTCCCACGACAGGTGGTCGGCACGGCGTGCTCTGACGACACCGCGTGCAGTGGCGTTGCCCACGGGGGCGAAGACCTCCGCAAGCGCCCTCTGTGCAGACGCAGCGCTGCATAGCGTGCAAAGTGATCCTCGTGGGCTCGTCATCCGCGCATTCGACGCGAGCACTCGAGAGATGGCGGACGAATCCCGCAGGAGAGCGGAATGACCGTCCTTGGCACCATGGGCACTAATAGTGGCCGCCGTGGAAAGGGATGTGGGCAGGAGCAGGGCCGTCCTCGTCAGCTGGCGGCTGCAGGTCGGCGCGGGAACGTTCTGGGATCTGGGAAGCCTGCGCGGCGGCGCGCGCGCGGGAGAAGGCTCCAGGAAGGGGGCGCGCTACCCCCTGCCGCGGGCAGGGCGCTGGGACCAGCAGGAGCGGCAGGGTGGGGGCCGACGCCGGAGGCTGGGCCGGCGGCGGGCGCGAGTGCGGGTGCCGTCGCAGGAGGGGCCGCTGGCGCCCTCGGCGGCGGGGCCCTGGGGGGGCAGCTCGCGTGCACCTGCACCACGTTACCGCAGCATGGCACCGTAGAGCACACGGCCTCCGCGGCACCCCTCTGCTGTTGACCGCGTCCCGGTCCCGTAGCGGCGGCACCTGCCATCGCGTCCAAGGCTGGGGTTGGCAGGAGTGCCGCACGACGGGACTCCTCGAGCGGAGTTCCTGCGTCGACCTGCATACCAGGAGGCTCGATGTGGAGGGCGGCCAAGTCAGGCTCTGCGATGTCTGGCTGGAGGAGGGCGGGGTCAAGCTGAGCGCGAGCATCTGTAAGATTGCGGCGGAGGGTGCGCGCTCCTGCTCCAGTAGCGCCGCGGGGCCGCGCGGAAGACTCTCCTCCCGCGCGGGAAGACTCCTCCGGTTGGGAGCGGTTGCGGCTGCGCTCGCAGTCTGGAAAGTATGGGGTCCAGGCAGCGGCAATGCTGACGGCGAGGCGTCCGACGAGCACAAGGGTCAACGCGAGAGCCGCCAGGAGCGTGCGAGGAGCGAGTCCGCCCTGGAGTAGACGGCAGGCGGCTGCGATGGGGGCTGGCCGCAGGAGCGCGCCTCCACGACTGCGCAGCGCGAGGCGTGCGTCCCGGATGCCGACCCGGCCGGCACGCACGACTGCATCGAGCAGCGGATCGAGAAGGAGCCCGCGAGTGGTTAAAAAACAGCGACTGCTGCTGCAGCAGCGCCGCCGAAACTCCTGTCAGCAGCACTGGCAGGACGAGGACTGATGATATCGCCAGAACGAGGCAGGCCAGTGGCGCAGAAGGCGACGAGATAGTGGAAGCCCCTCCAAAAGCGAGTCCACGTTGAACACCATGGGCCAGCAAGGGCGCCTCTACGCTTGACCTCGAGATTGCTGATCCCCTCGTGGATCACCTCCTGACTCGGAAATCTGGTCTGCGTAAAGATACGTTTGATCGCCAGACATGCCATGGAAGCAACACGATAATCGCGGCATGGCCTCCTGAATTAACAAGAAAACAATCCTAAAATGCCTCAGCGCTGCCTGCCTGACCCGAGACATGATGACTGGAGCCAAATGGGGTTAATCCAAAATGGCGACGACGACGACGACGATGACGACGACGACAAAGACTCCTTAAGGCGACGACCACCGCCATCACAGCGCTGACGACGACCTGGCTACGCACGAAATGAATGGCAACGATGGCCGATCGACTGACGACTACGGCGAATGGACGACGCCGGAATGACAACGACGAACGACGACAAACGACGACGACGACGACGACGACGACGGCAGAGGACGACAACGAAGACGATGACGACGAACACGATGACGACGGCGACAACGACGACGACGACGACGACGACGACGACGACGACGACGACGACGACGACGACTAGCGGCGATCCTGGCCGCTGGGAGCCCTGGCGGCTGGCAGCGCGGCCTCCTCCTCGACGACGGTGACCTCGAAGGGCTCGCCCTGGGTGCCATTCACCACGGGCATCGCCGCGACCTCGCCCGCGGCGAGCGGCCAAAAGCCCAAAGGCGGGTGGCCTGCCGCCGATGGGCAGCGACGGCCGACCGGAAACGGCGGCCGTGGCGACGGCGGCGACCACCACGTCGAGGATTACGTGCCTCCGATCGCACTTCAAGATCACATTCCAGAAATAATTTCGAGCACCCCGAAGAGTATCGAAACAGTGTCTGCCCGACACGCTGACGAAGTGTCCAACGAGCATCGCCTCCCAGGGCCCGACAGGTGAAAGCACTCCAGTTTCAATAATTACCTTCTTGGTGCTCGAAATTGTTGCTGGTCGAGGATCGAGGATCGAGGGGGTCGATGCGCTCAGAAGTCGCGCCAGAGGCCGGCCAGTCGCACGCGGACTTCGGATACTGTGGCGCGCGACGGCGGCGGCGGCGTCGCCGAAAGACGGCGGCGAAGTCTTCGTCGGAGAGGTCTTCCGACGTGAGTCTGTGAAGGACCTCGCTGCCACGCCTGGGCACAGCTGGAGTGACTGGCCAGGATGGGCCCTGGGACGAGTCCAGGGAACTATTTTGAGCAGATTCGGAGCAGATTCGGCCAAGTCGGGCGACGACGACGAACGCCGACGAGGACGACGACGACGAACGACGACGACGAACGACGACGGCGACGGCGACGACGGCGACGGCGATTTCGACGGCGACGGCGAAAACGACGACGAGGGAGCTGGGCGGGCGAAGATGAGGAGAGGAGGGGGGGGGCGCGAAGAGGTGACCGATGTCGAGGAGGGCGACACCCCAGCAACGAAACTGAAGACGACGACGAGCACAACGATGCCGACGCCGACGCCGACGCCGACGCCGACGCGGACGAACGACGCCGCCGCCGCCGCCGGCCTCGCCGATCTCGCCGACCTCCTCGTCGTCGTCGCCGCTGCCGCGGCCGTCGTCGACGTCGTCGCCGTCGTCGCCGCCGCTGGCCTCGAAGTCGTACTGCCCTCCGGGCGAGAAGGCGGCCGCGAGGGCGTGGCTCATCGACGGCGGGCCGCACAGCGCGAGGCTCGAGCCGCTGCGCTGCCAGACCATCTCCTGGATGAGCGCGCCCACGAGGTAGACGGACATCTTGGCGCCTGGCGCGTCCTCCGCGAAGACGGGCACCTCGGCCAACGAGGGCCGGTGAGCATTGCTTGATCGATCCCCGTCCCCGCTGGCGTGGCCTTGGCCCCACTGGCCGACTTATCCACCGAATTAGGTGGGGATCTGTGCCTGCGCCTTCGGGTCTCGAGGGGCACACCTCCACCTATCCCGCGACGACCAGAACCTCGGCCAGAGACACCCGAGGACTTCCCTCGAAAAAGATAAAACAGCAAAAACATTAACTCTCGAGGGTCCGCGCGGATGCCTTGGATCCGCGCTGGGCGCCCTCCTGGCGGCGCCTCTGGCGCCACCCCTGGCGCGCTCCGCGAGCCAGGGATAGGGGGTTCAGCGCAATCCGAGAAATCCGCGCGGACCTCCGATAGTGTTTGTTGATGCCTTATGTTCTCGGGGGGCCCTGGGACACCTCCTAGAGCTCCAGGGGCTCGGAAAAACCCTGCGTTGCTCAATAAGCGCTGCGGGTGGGCTGCCACTCCCGCCGACAGCCCAAAATCGACCTCCGTCGCGGTGAGGCGACGTGGCCACGTCGACCCCCGTCGAGGGGTAGCCCCCGCACCGTTTTACGAACGCGGGAACCCGCTTTCGGACCCTGCGGCCATCAAAAAAAAGGCGGGCTGAAAAACCGCCTGGGTCCCGGAGAGTCGAAAATACCGAGTCGTCGGAGATCTGGGCTCTCTCGGGCACGCGCTAAGATGGATGAGGAATCCATGGATCTGGAGCGGCAGGCGCCACATCCAGAGATCGGGGAACGCAACTCCCGAAACGTGGCGCCGGTGCTGCCCGATCTGACGACGGAGAGCGCAGCTTTGCACCTGAGCAGGACCCGTCGCCAACCCGCGAGCCTCCCTCCATGCCTGTGCTTCCTCGACTCCTGCCGCCGCGGCTGGACGTGCCCCGAACTCCTGGCGCGTAAACGCGCCCCCGGAGAGGCCCCCGGGAGAGGGAACCCAGACATTGCGACGCCCTGGCTTCTTCAGGACGCAGGGGCCCCCATGAAGTCCCTGATGGGCCAATTGTCCACCACCACCACCATAGGTAGGACGGGGGAGAAGGGAAGATGAGGTGGTCCTCCTCCTCCTCCTCCTCCTCCTCCTCCTCCTCCTCCTCCTCCTCCTCCTCCTCCTCCTATTCCTTCTTCTCCTCATCCCTCTCCTACCTATGGTAGTGGTGGTGGAAAATCGGCCCATCAATCCCGACCCGTTCCCCCGGAACCGGCTTCTGCTTGACGGCCCCGGGGCCCGGCGAGGGCCCCCAGAGGCCGGGAACGACGAAACATACCGCCCGTCACGATCCTCTCCCGGCGCGAGAGGGCCCGGGGAGGGAGGCAGGGAGGGAGGGAGGCGCGGAGGGATCTTGTGAATGCGGGCTCGGCTTTCCAGCCCGAGCCGTCTCGAGGCGGCCCCGGGGCCCGGCGAGCGGCCCTGCATGGAGCGGGGGCGAACGTCCAAAGACCTCCCGTCGTGATCCTGCTCACGCCGCGGGCACGCCCCAAGAAGGAGCACGACGACGGCACACGGCAGAGCACGACACCACGGCACGCCAGCCACGACTCGGGCACGCGCTGGCATTGTTGTGGATGGGTCTCTCGAGCTCTCCGCCGCCTCTGGCGGTGCGCTTTGCGAGCAGGAGCACAGCAAAGCCACAGGAGAGCTAGGCATTGACGGTGTAGCCCCGCACACGTGGCAAGTGCTTACGAGCAGGAACACAGCAAAGCCCCAGGAGAGCGAGGCATTGACAGCGCAGCTCAACACTGACACGGTGGTGGCTGGGCACGCGCTGACGTCAGCCAGCCGCGACTCGGGCACGCGCTACCCTGGGGATCCGTGGATCTGGCGCGGAGGCGCCAGACCCACGGATCGGGGACGCGCCGATCCTGGACGGAAACGGGACCCGTCGCTGACAGTCCGTGCGCCTGAGCCCGTGCCTCCGAGCCTCCACTTCCTCGGCACGACGCAGGGGCGCGGGCTCCCGTCGCACGCGGCGAGGCGCCCACCGCGCAGCGGAGCACGGGCCGCTCGGCGCCACCAGGGCCCCCAGGAGGGAGCTCTGGCTGCGCCTCAGGTCGGGCATGTCCCCCTCCAGGCGGATTGTGGGCGAAAACTCAAAAACAGTCCAAACATCTGCCAAAACAGCCAGAAATCGTATCCACATCGTCCCCAGACTATGATTTTTCTACTATGTTTGAATCTTCGTCCTGTAGATGTCGGGAGCGGCCAAGAGGGGGGTGTCCAAGAGGGGGGGGGGCGCAAATCATGACCGGCGGCATGTGCGCGGCCCAGCGGGGGGGGGGGCAGGGACGTAATGAAATAAGAAGAGGAGCCATAAAATCTAGGGAAATATCATGACCCCCGCCATGATATCCACCCCCCCCTAGTCCTCACCCCCCTCTTTTCCGCCCCCGAAGAGGGACATGCCCGACTCGAGCGGGCCAAGCCCCCCCCCCGGGGCCCACGGCGCCCGGGGGGGGAGGGGCAGGGCGCGAGGAGCGGGAGGCGCGGAGGGCGGGAGCGAGCGGACCCGCCGGAGCCGCGCGCTCGCCCCGCGCGCCACCTCCCGGAGGCGCGGAGCGGCGCGGCGCCGCTGCCGGGCACCGCAGTGCCCGGGCCCTCTTGGGGTGAAGCCGGGCCTGTCCCTCTACAGGAGGAGTACCCAAAAAAGTCGAAGAATCGTCTGGGGACGATCTGTTGATCTAAATATGTATCTATACATATAAATATATATACATATACGTATATATATACATGTGTATATATATAGGTGCTCGTTTGGAACATGTTTTGAATATTCTTCTTTTGTCTTCCAAGATTCCCCTGTAGGAGGACATGCCCGGCCAAACTTTTGGGGGGGCAGGGCGCGGCGGCCGCCCAGCCTCCAAGAGTGGGCGGCGCAGCACACGGGCCAGCACAGCAGAAGAAAACGCGGGCGAGATCCGCGGGCATTTTCGGCGTGTGTTGAGAGGCGTTGCCGTTTGTGTAGTCGTCGTCGCCGCTCCCCTGCCTCGACGATTTTCTGCTTGACTCGTCGTCGTCGTCGTCGTCGTCGCCGTCATCGGTCCCCCGTTGTCCCTGTCCACGGGCCCTCCTCCTCGAAGGTTCCAGCCAGAAGGGGAATCGAGCAACGTCGTCATCGAATCGTCCGTTTGATCCCTCCCCCGCTAGAGGTGGCGGTCCAGCGGAGGGCAGCTGGGGGCCCCCACGGTTATAACCGCCACCCACCCCCGGGGAGCACCCCTCCCTGGGAGAAGCTTTCCCCTGCGATTCCTTGCCGCCTCACAAACGCCTCGGGCTCCCCTTTCAGGCTCGGCGGCACTGGCCGCAAAACCCTTCGCAATAGCACACAACCCAGGACGAGTAAAAGATGAGGATGCAGAGGTCCAGGGGTGAAGGCGGGAGAGGCGCGAAACAGGAGGACGGGCGGCAAGATGCCGCGGCCCAGGTGGCAGGATACAGGACGCGGGGAGGGGGCAGGAGGCTGGGAGGAGGCACAGGGCGCACAGAGGCGGAGGGGGGGACACGGGAAGACGGAAAGGGCGGCAGGATGCTGACGACGTTA